ACCTCGCGTTCGAACACTCGACCACGCCAATCCCTGTGAAGGGTTGCAAAATTCATTTCAATGCACATCGAAAAATGCAACTTTACTTAGCGTTCGTGCATTCGACCATGCCAATCCCTGTGGAGGGTTGCAAAATGCAAATCCCTGTGAAAGGTTGCAAAATGCAGTTCTGGGAAGGGTGCGAAGCGCACATAAAAATGTGTAACTTTACCTCGCGTTTGAACGCCCGAGGAGGCGAATCCCTGGGAAGGGTTGCGCCGGGCGCCTAAAAAATGTGTAACTTTACCTAGCGTTTGGGCGCTCGAGGTGGCCAATCCCTGTGAAGGGTTGCATTCCCGATGGACGACGACGGTGCCACCCCTGGCTTTAGAAGAGAGATTAGATACCGAGATGTAGAGAGTAAGTCAGAGAGTAAGTCAGAGAGTAAGTCACAGAGTAAGTCAGAGAGTAAGTCAGAGAGTAAGTCAGAGAGAAAGTCACAGAGTAAGTCACAGAGTAAGTCATAAGTCAGAGAGTAAGTCAGAGAGTAAGTCACAGAGTAAGTCACAGAGTAAGTCAAGAGTAAGTCACAGAGTAAGTCACAGAGTAAGTCACAGAGTAAGTCAGTAGTCAAGTGAGTAAGTCACAGAGTCCTCAAGTTCATAGAGTCATAGAGTAGTCAAGAGTAGTCAAGTTCGGTCTTAGAGTCATAGAGTCATAGGGTCATAGAGTCGTAGACTCAAGTGTCAAGTCATAAGGTCATGTGCTCGATTCTATGTTTGTCATCTATGTACTTGTCTACCCGGCTCCGCACGGAAGAACCCTTCGCGACGCTTTCGGGAAAACCCTAAACCCTAAACCGATTTTCCACATACAGGGAAGATGAGCATGGCTCCTTCGCAAGGATGACGCGCACAAAGCGAGAAGTGTTACACCAAGAGGCTAAGCAGATTAAAACTATCAAACCTAAAGCCCCGAACCCTAAAGATATAAGTCCAAAAACCACAAAAAGCCCCAAACCTACGATAGGAACCTAACTAATTATCTGTAGAATTCTGGGGGTTCCTTAGTATGGTCATAGTATAATGGACCCCAAAACCCTATCTAATTATTCAGGCCGCTATATGGGTGTTGTCAAAATTAGGGTCCCTTTTTGGGTACCCTAAATATTAGGTGCCGTATTATAATAGGGACCCCAAAAAGGGATCATGATTTTGACAACCACCCAGATGGGAAGAACGGAATCCGAGCCTCACCGTGGTATTTTGGGTTATGATCATCTCTAACAGACAGCAATTTTTTTTTTGCTAGGGTTCTAAGTTCAATATAGTAATTATTAAGGCGCCTATTTTAAGACCTAAGGCCAAGCAAAGTCGGGCTCGGAACTCCGTGGGTCCCTGGCTTTGGCAGTGCCGGCAAGTGTTGCCCTGGAGCCTTGTCGGGCTTTCTTTAGGGTTTAGCATAGGGTATAAAGTTTAGGGATTTGGGCTTAAAGTTTAGGGGTTAGGGCTTGATAGGCTTTAAGGGTTGAGTATAGGGTATAAAGTTTAGGGATGATGAGAGCTGGGATTGGGGATTAAAGTTCAGGGATTAGAGTTTGATCAGGGTTGACTGAAAAGGGTGCAGTCTTGGTTGTGGTTTTTGGGTGTGGCTTCGGGTTTAATTCATGGTCGTGAATAGGGGTATATATGGTGTAGGGCAATAGGGGTTTATATGGTGTAGGGCTTCAGGGATTGAATTAGGGTTTCCGGTTCCGGGACGGGTTCAGGCATGAGGGCGTTGTTTTGGAGTGTGGGGTCGGGGGTGCCGGGTTGAGAATGTCGCGTTTAGGATAGACGCATTCTCGTATGGTGGTTCTGACCAGTATTTACATGCATACCCACATACATATGTACACACACACACACACACACATAAAATTAACATGTTCGCTTGTTCAGGAAAAGTTGCCCTTTTGTGTTTGTGGGTGTGACGAGACCACTGGGCGCATATGGAATGACTGTTGTTTTATGTGGGAGTGTATAACTTACTTGCTTCTGGGCAATCGTATTTGGGGGTTTCGAGGTTTGGGGTGTTCCGGGAGGGGGAGAGGTTGGTTGCCCGTGCAACCAGTGTCACAACCTCGCACTTTTGCATCTAGGGGCACATATCACAAAGTGTATCAGTCCAAAGCGCCAAGCAACACGCGCCAACGGCCCCGATTACAGGAAAATAAGTCAGGAAAAGTGATCGTGTGTGCGTGCATATCTTACAAGTCTTGTATGATTCTAGTACGTCTTCTTGCAGGATGCAGTATAGGTATCAAGCCCCTTCGATTCCCAGGAGCGACTCTACAGTGGAGCCTTCTTGCAGTCGCTGTTTCCTCGGCTGGGCCTCCAGGCGGGCAGGACACGCACCCAGAAGTGGCGGCAGGCATGAAAAGGCCAACAGGTTTTTGTTTCGGACCTCTGAAGCGTTCATTCAAGGTTTTCTTTGCCTTTTCGGGTTTTGTCAGGGATTGAGGGTTTCTCGTCGCAGGTTTAAGAGTTATGGTGGGTGTTTTGGTCAGAGTATGCAGGCCTCCTTAAGAACATTGGTGAGGGTATGGGGGCTTTCGCAAGGAATGCCCACTTTCGAAAGTGCTTCTGCAGCTGTTGATGTTGCTGAGTGACGATCATGGCTGTGGCAGTGATGATGGTGGTGGTGATGATGATGATGAAATTTGAAATGGTGATGGTGGCAGAGTCGAGATGCAAGAGGAGGACGGAGAGGACGAGCCTTTGATGATGCAGATGCGTCTGGAAATGGTCGTGAGCTTGTAGAAGAGCAAGAGAGAGATAATGGTTTTCAGTATTGTGACGATGTTCATGGTGCTAATAATGAGCTGCACGATAATCGTTCCTACTCCATGAATCCGGAAAGATGCTTCAAGTCTCGCAAACTAGTCCCTGTATGGTGACCTTTGAGTCCCCCGCCTGGGCCTCTGCGAATAACTGCTCGTGGGCGGTGGGACAGATTTCACCGTTTGCTGATGAGAGTTGGTTGAACTGTGTAGTGCTGGAAGTGGGAGCCTGTAAAGATGTCAGGTGGCTGCTCTGAGGCTAATGCGCCTGTTCACGCCGCTCGAACAAGGGTTTCCCTTTTTGTTGCGACAAACCTCGCCAGAGTTGTTGAATATTTTCCAAAGCCGTAATCTAAATGCATATTCCGGCTCCCAATTTCAACCGCGGGACACCGGCGCCAGTTTTTTTCGTGCTTGTCTTGGCGATGTTCAAGCCCCTCACCCACCTAAACTATGAAGCCCCCAGGCCCCAGTCCCCAAATCCTGACCGCTCTTGAAAGGCTAAGTTTAGGATTTGGGGTATAGAGACTATAGATCACAAATAGCTATTATAAATCATCATCCACCATACGAACAGAATACGAAATATAAAAAAGATTTCATCTCGTATAGGCTTTTGAAGCTGTCGGGGAGGTCTCGGAGCCCGATCACGACTGCAGCTCCTGCAGCCTGCTCCACGTCCCCTGGCCTCGGCGTTCACACTAAAAAAGTGGTCAAAACCACTTAGTATAATAATGTACATTGTAAACATCTTAGTATATTAATTATCTTGAGTTATGGTAGTATCTTATAGTACGTTGCTTAGTATTACAGTTATATTAACTTATGGTATTATCTTATGGTAAGTTGTTGTGGTATGTTCTAGTGTTTCAGTACTATTGTATACCATCGACTATCAGTATGCTATACTCTAGTATATTCATGTAGCATTGAGGGAGTGTTGTTGAAGAAGAAGGATCATAGTACAGCAGGTAGCACACGTCGCTGCAGTACATCGGTCGAAGTGTCGTGCTGGCGAGCGATGGCGGGCGGACTTTGGATCAGGATGCATGGCATAGAATGCGGTTCTTTACGGAGCAATCATCGTCTCGAAGTCTCTGCTAGCATTCGTCGCGCCCGCAGCCTCTGAATCTAAAGTGCAAGCCTTCATGCAGGCCCTAAACCCCAGCGCGTCATCCTAATCCCAAGCCGAAAAACTGCAATGCCCCACGCAAACCCAAACCCCATGCCCATACGGAAATCCTTTCAGAGCCCCCGTTTGAACTCCTGAAAATTCACAAGCAACAGAAGGCCCACTTGACACGACCTACTGAAAAAACACTGAAGCCCGACAGAAGCCGGACTTGACAAACCTACGGCCCTGTATAAAACCTTATCAAAAGAACCACACTTAGGAGGCAAAAAGCACCTAAACCTTAACCGTCGACCCCAGGTCGAGGGCGGTGGTTTGGAGCTCCTTCGCTGGCGGCGTCTTCGTGTGCACCCGGATGGCCGTGCGGCGTGCTGGTTTCAGCCGGCAAAGGCCATTCTTATTCAGAAAAATCTAAAGCCTATAAGGGTTCCTAGAGACTCTGAGTGGTCACACAAAATCAGCCCGAGAAACCACAGTTTCCTTCCCCGGTCCAAACGCCCCAACACAATAAGCAGCAATATCCCGCTGATGATTCTCCCTATGTACGTCAACAGTAGTATCTCCCAAAACCCTGATTTAGCTACTCAAGCCCCTATGCTAGACTTAGTACCTAAGGCTATAAGTACCTTACTTGGGGTTATAAGTATAGTTACCCTTATAACTCTAGTTACTAAGTCCCATGATCCTTCAAGCAGTAGCTCTACCAAGGCTAGAGGCCTCAAGGAAAAGCCCTCCAGGAGCCCCGTGAGAAGAAAAGCAGAGGACGGAGCTTTGGCTGGTTTCCCAAGCACCTGGGCTCTTGTTCAGGTGGTCTTAGGGGTACTTAGAAATGTTTTTTAATTTTGGGTTATTATAATCCCTAAGAAACAGCTAAATTTATAATCTTTGCTAGGGTTCTAAGTTCAGTATAGTGGTTTAGGGTACCATAGTAGGGGTAGTAAAGGAGTCGGGTGTGTTGTGGGCTTTATGATGGGGTTACTTGTGATACCTAGCAACAGAAACCTTACATCAGATGACTTTCTGATATCCTGGTTGCTGGGCGCGGCCCAGTCAGCTAGGCGGAAAAAGATGTCCAAACAAAAAGAACCCAGGCACCCGGCCCTAGCCGACTTGGTGGGGCTTGCAGAGGTCCGCAAGCAGATGTTCAGGGTTCGAGGAATTGGGGCTTTAGACATTCCATATGTAAAAGATTCAGGAGTTTCTGGGTTACTAGGGTTCATGGTTTGGGGTTTCATGGCCGGGATTCTAGCGAATCCGTGCCTTGTAGGTGGCCTGCGGCTTTTTGGTGCAGCCTGTGCTGCCCGACAGCTGCAAGCTCCTCTGGCACGCAAAGCTGGCGAGGAGTGGCTTTATGCTCAAAGCGGCCCTAGGAAGCATCTCGGATGCAAATGGGAGGCTAAAGCTTTTAGGTATTTCGGACTTCCCTAAACCCCAAACCCTTCCTTTGATATTTTCGTGTTTGGGAAGAGGGAGATCCACAAGCCAGGCCTCTGCGCGGGTCCCTTGCGGAGGCTAGCTCGCGACCTGTCCGCCGACCCGCCCTCGAAGGGCGACGCTTCGGCCAGAAGGACCGAGGCCTCAGAGGACGAGGATGGAAATGCTGAGCCCTGCGCTTCTCGAAAGAGCCCGCAGCACCAGGAGGCACGCGAGGAGGAGGAGGTGGAGGAGGAAGAGGTGGGGGAGGAAGAGGAAGTGGAAGAGGAAGAGGAGGAAGAGGAAGGGGAAGAGGACAAGAGTGAATCTGACAAGGCCGAGTCCCAGGAGGCCCAGGAGCTGTGCATGACTGAGCAAAAGGAAGCAGCAAGCCTCGGACCAGAAAGTGCCGCAGGATCTGCGGAGGAGTTGAACAACCTTAGCCAAGGCATCATGGAGCTTGTGGAAGAGCTACAGATGGCTCAGGACGTCAAGGGACAGACGGCGATCGCGGGACCGGAGCATGAGAACTTCGCCCTCGCCAGTCCGTGCAAGAATGATCTGGATGGGGAGGACGGATATCTAGACATTTCGGACTCTCGGTTTGCTTATGGGGAAACATGTTACATTAATTTCCGAAGAGCCTGAACCCTCGCGATCGTAAATCTCGTCACTTCTGGTTGTAAGGACCGGAGCGGACCTCCAGGTTCGCGGCCAGCGAAGATGCCCATGCACTTTCGTGGCCAGTGCAAAGTACCTGGAGCACCAAAGCAGGTTTTAGATCATATCTCACATGAGGTGTGGGAGGTGGAGGGTATAGGGAGTACCTTAACATACCAAAACCTACTTTTTTGCAGGGGTCATTTATAATAAGAACCTACAAAAAAGTAGCTTATGGTAGTTTAAAGTGATTAAAGAGGAGCATACTTTGTAAGCAATTTCGCCTGTGAGGTGTCGCAGTGGTTTCGGCAGCGGCGACGGAAGCGCATGCGATTCCCGGAACCCAGAACGGCTGTGGAGCTCCCACAGACTCTCGGGCAGTTTAGGGTCTTCTTATTATTATTGTTGCTCTTACTATTATTAGTATTGTCGTTACTACTATTATTATTAACAATGTTATTATTATTAGTCTCATTATTAGTAGTGTTAATGTTATTATTACTATTGTGTTGTAGTGCTAAAGCAAAAAAGCTTAGCACAAAACTTTGCATGTTGCTGTCTGAGCAGAAGTCAGCGAACAGTTACATGGTGCGCTTGATCAAAGATGCGTTCCATTATATAGTTTTGTGAAGCCTGCCCAATACCCAAGCACCAAACGCCAAACCCTACTTGGAGGTTCATGGGTAGTTGCAAGTAGGGCGACAATCAGGGTAGCTATACTTATAACCCATGTTAGGGGACTTATAACCCCACTTATAGCTGCCCATGAACCTCCAAGTAGTAACACCCGAAAACTAAATGGGTGGTTGTCAAAATTATGGTCCCTTTTTGGGTCCCTAATATACGACGGCACCTAATATTTAGGGTACCCAAAATGGGACCTTAATTTTGACAACCATCCAAATCGCACCCTCAGTCGAGGAAAGAGACGAAGAAGGGATCCGACGAGGTCGGATTTCAGAACGCAGGGGGTGCAGAATAGGACCTCGTAATATTCGTACTAGAGTATTAACGGCTTTAAGAGTATGTGAGTAGTAGGATCGTTAGAGTATGAATAGTAGGATCCTAAGAACAAGAGTGTATGATTCTAGTAGAGTAGGTAAATGGACCTCTAGAACCTTGGGAGCCCTATCGGAAGAGACCCCCAGGTTGCCAGGGTACCCGAAGCCTCAAACTTCATGGGAGCGACCCCTCGCGCTTCGGCCATCCCGTGCTTGCGGCGGCCGAGGAGGGGCCAAGGTCGCCCCCCGGTGAAGGCCCCCGAGGTCTGCTCGGAGGTGGAACGAGGGGCAGATCTGAGGGACAGTGCCGAAGAACTTGGGCTTTCCGGCCTTCTGGCGCTTTCTGCAGACGCCGCCCACACTGTCCCAAAGGCCTCTCCGAAACGGAGACGAAAGAAGCCGAAGCAACAGAGCTGGATGTCCGTATCTGCAGAGGCTTCAGAGGCTATTTCGGGCCTGGCCGACTGGCTGCTCAGTCTTCAGAATTCCATAGAAAGGGACGTCAAAGTGATGGATGTTCCACAGCTTGCCGATTTCTTTGGGCCGTCGACTGCACAGCCTCTGCGAACACTGCGTGGGAGAGGCTCCGAGAAGCACACCGGCAGCAAGTCGAGCAAGCAGAAGTCCCGGGCATTTTGATGCTTTGAGAACCACCTCTACCTGAATCCTTGTTCTTCCTGACAAGCTTCCAACGAAGATAAGGCAGGCCCTGCCATTTCCAGCTTGCCTTTAGAAGCTAGACTTGGCACTGCTCGCTTCTAGCAGGAGGGTCTCTCCAACGTCTGGTCGATGCTAAAGTAATCTGGATGAATGGCAGGGCATCAAGGAAAGTCTACAGTACGGTCTCTCCCTTACGAACCCAGCCAAAACAGAGTACGGCTGCTTCTCTAGAGCGTTGCCTTCAATCCCGGGTGCCCTGACAGGTGCGCATCCTTCAACGCCTTCGCACTCTAGTGGCCAACTTCAGATGGCTGATGATTTTCGAAAAGGAGGATCCCTTACGAGAGATGTTTGATAAACTTCTGTCATGTTGTCGGGCTGATGATTTCAGACTCTGCAGCCCTGATCGTGGGGTATGCCTCCTTTCGTTGATCCTGTGCTCCCGCCTCCAAACGGAGGATGCCGTGAGGAGAAGGAGTCGTGGGAGCTGCCACCCATACCCAGTTTACTCTGAATCCGAAATGCTAAAACCCAAACGCCAGATATCCTTAGACCCTAAATCCTAATCCGAAACCCTTAGCCCCTTCTTGAGAAGCTGACTGGCTGGCAGAAGCTTTCATGGGCCCTTGCTCGGGCATGGATTACTAGGAATCGGCATGCACTTGCCGCAGCAAGGTTCGCGTGTGCCGGCACTAGCATGCTCTCACTGATTCTTCGGGAAGGGAGCTCGCAGGTCCATGGGTAGCAAAAACCGGACTCTGTGCTTCTTCAGCTCGCTAATATAGCCTCAGTGGAGCTGGCGATGTGTGAGCATGCTTTGTGATTTTTCCACCGCGTAGCATCCGGTGCTGCGAAAGTTCATGGCTGGAAAAGTTACTGCGTCACTCCAGTCGCTGGTTCTAGACATGGACAAGTGGGAGTTTCTGAAAACAGGGGACCCTAATATGGTACCCTAGATCGTAGGATGGCTTGTCCGAGAGTGAGTGCTGAAATAGTAGGGTCCTTAGTAGTATGAGGACCCCAAAATATGGTACCCCTAATTTTCGAATGGGCGAGTTGCAGGAGGCATACATGGTGGACACCGAAGGGAAGGGCTTCACCATTCCCGCTGACAGCTCAGTTGGTGCGCCCATCAATTCGTCAGCTTGGCAATCTTCTGAGACACCATTGCGTTGCAAAAAGTATGGCTATGTGTCTTTGCTTGAGGCTGGCTCGCTATTGGTTCGCTCTTCGGCAGGTTGCGGGCAGCAGTCTCGGGAACCCGGAACCGGAACCGCCATGTCTCCTCCAGGCACATCAAAGTGGGTGATGCCTGACCAGATCAGCAAGACCTTGCGGCCATCGTCTGGCACTTGGTCTGTAGTCCGCACGGAATGCTCCACCTCGTAGTATACCCTTCATAAGCTTCACAATGCGAAGGTCCTCTGCTGCACCGGCACCGAGCTCATCGCTGCCTGCCGGGAGTCCGGACTTCGCCAAAGGCGCAGAGCGCCTGTCGCAGCGGCCTTGGAAGTCCCTGCGTGGCTGAGTGCAGGCGAGAAGATCCAGGTATGGAGCGAGAGCCGGCAAGTGTGGCTGCTAGGCTCGGATGCATTGGTCACGCTGCTGCTCACAAGCATGCTGGTGCTGGCATGCTGATGATAGAGGTGTCAACGGCTGTGGTCGTCTGGTGGTTGGGTCCTTGCTGTGTGCGATGCAGTCGTGATCGTCGTCGTCCTCGTTGGCGCGGAGTCACAGTCCCCAAAGGCTGCAGTCGCAGCCGGAGCAGAAATTATATAGCGGAGGGTTCATCGTCCTGGTCGCGGCAGTGCGGCTGGCAGTACCCCTTTGAAGCAACAAGTGTCGTGTGTGCAAGGGCCCATTCTCTGCGCCATACAGTACCTCCACAGGTGTCGTCCAGGAGGTGTTCTTGGTCGACAGCAAGTCCGAGGGTTTTGTCCGCAGCCGAGCGTCTCCTTGTCTCATCTCTTCGCCGCTCTCACTCGTGGATTCGCTTCTCGAGGATGTGCCGGCTGGCAGTGTCAAGGCCCAGGGTAGCTGCTGGGTAGCTTTCGCAATGCTGTGCGCAGAGCTGTCCAGTAGCCAGAAAGAGGGTGAGGGCGGTGAGGGTTGAGTGCTGTTCCGGGCAACAGGTCTTGTCCGAAACAGGTGTGCCCCGGGCTCAGTCCGTAGCAGCGAACTCGAAAAGCTGAGCTCAATAAAACATCAGAGCCTTGCCTCCACAAGGAAATGGGTCCTTCCGAAAGACCGGGCCCGGATGCTGCAGAAGGCGGCTACCGTTTTTCTGTCAGAGTATAACCTCATTTGTCCTTCCCCTTACGTATGTTGTGTTCTTACTTTTCCGATATTGCGTTGCAGTTTTAAGTGGTAGTCTACCACATTCTGTTTTTTATCCAAAATCGTCCAATGGTCTGGAAGATGCTTGGTTGTCGCGCACACTAAGACCCTAAGATATAGTCTCCCTGGTAGTTAGTTCCTTTTTGTGGCTACCTTGTGGGATTCTAAATATGAACGTTAAACCAAAGCAGAAGCTACAATGGAGACTATTGACTATAGGTAAGATCTGTTCTCATGATGTCCCGATGGGCATGGAGACCATAGGTGCTTCAGGACTGGTGCAGTTTGCCATCAGCGGCGGTTTATTGGTTCATCAATCCTCGTCTTCCCGCTGTTTCAGGGTCTACGGATGTTTCAGCGGCCCATTTCCCGGCACGGGCTCCAGGTCGCCCCTCTGCATTCGCACAGGTGGAAGTCCCATCATCACTGGATTTGAAGGCCATGCTGAAAGCAGCCTTGTCTCAGTCTCAGCTTCGATACAGCTACGTGCCCCAAGCTCTCACATGCTCTAGCCAAGCCTTATAGCATTATCAGTCTTTTGCCAGCTGCTGGCGTTTTATGTCTGCAAATTCATGCCCTGTTGCTGCGTGCAAGTCGTTTTTTGCTGTTGGATTGCCCTGTAGGGATTTCAGGCCCTGTAAAGGATTTATCAAGACCTATGGGGGACCTTCCTTCTGGGGGCTCTTCTAGAACTTAATTAGACAGCATGCTAAACCCTGCTTACATATCTCACTGTCAGGCCACTACGTGGGGGAAGGGAGGGATTCAGCATGTGGGGCTGCAAGTGCTTCGAAGTAGTCTTCGGGGGCGGAGGAGTTGGTGCAATACGCAGTAGGTTCGCGTAAGAACTGGACTAGAGCCTGGGGGTACGGTATTCTATGGCCTTATGGCTTCATAGGGACTACTGGGGGATATATTCCGAAGATCACAACCAGCTTGCTCTGCAGAACTCTCTGTTGACAGGGCTCTTGAAGCTCTCTGGGTCTCTTTGGGCGTTTAGGGCTATTACTAGAACCCTTACCCTAAACTGTAAACCCAAACCCTCAGCGAGACGGCTGGGAAAACTACCCTAAACCTTGAACAAAATCCCTAAACAGAACGCTAAACTAACCCTAAATTCAACGCTCAGCGAAACCCGAAACTACTAATTGTCCAACCCCTTTTTGTGGTCTTTGGCCAGACTGCGGAGCTCCAACGGGTACGGGGTTACTCACTTCAAGGGCTTAGGACCAGAGACGAATCGCACTTAGCAAGAAGATGAGCCATTTTGAATGTGGTTGAGGAGCCCTAAACCCACAACGTAAAATCTCAAACCGCTTCTGACTCGTCATACCCCTTGCCCGTGCCCCCACCATTTTCGGAAACTGCTGAAGCACCCGCTGCCTTTAGTTTCATCCTGGGGTTCGTGGTGGGAAGCTGTTTTGTGTTGTAGCCTGGCGGCATGGATGCGACGCACAAAGGCCCTGAGTCGCAGGCCTGGGAGTTGGGATTCGAACTTCTTGATTAGTAGTAGTAGTAGTAGTAGTAGTAGTAGTACTACTACTACTGCTACTAATAATAATAATACTACTACTAATAATAATGATAATAATTAATAACAATAATAACAATAATAACAATAGTAATTCGACTCTACCTGGATGCACGTATAGTAGGACACATGTGCCGTGTACGTGCATGTCTAAATCTGCATGTGCGTGTACAGTGCATCGAATGCTGCCCGTTTGCCTCTGGCCACAGGCTCCTGCCGAAGGTCTTCGCTTGGAAGAGCGACACGACGATGCAAGTCGTGTGGCTGCTTATCGAGGCTTCACTGCGGTTGAGGGTTTAGGGTGCCACAATCGGGTTAGGAGTTAGGATAACATAGTCTTACGGATTCTGATCCCACTACACATATACTCATACTCAAACTATAACTCTAGTTTGTTCCCAATGCAAACCTCATCCGTTGCTTTTTCATCCCCGGGTTTTGCAAGGGAGCGAGAGCCAAGGAACTGAAAACCTGGAGGTGTCTGACCAGGCAGCCAAGGGCGCTTCTTGGCTGAACTGCATTAGGGTCTTGGGTTCTACTCTACAAGGACCCTCCTTGTACCCTCAAATAGGGGTATATGGTCCCAAGTCAGGAGCATTTACGGTCGAATAAGGGTAGATGGAGGGTTTAGGTACACTCGTACCAGAATCTTGAACCCTAGATGCTAGACCCTGTAACCGCAAACTCTTGAAACCTCCGGTGTTTCCCTCGACCATGAACCAAAAGCCTCACACCGGTTCGAGTTTTCCTTTGGCACGCCAACATAAATGATGTAGGATTCTTGCTACTCGCCTTTCAAAAATACGCGTACGTTTTCAGGTGGAGTCGCGCGAGGCTGCCGAGAGTCTCAATAAGGACGCCTTCAAGAAAGCTGAAGCCCGAGGCGCTAGGTGCGGCTTTGCGAAATGAAGGTTAAAACACCCGAAAAGATGGGGCTCAGATGTAGAATACTGTTCTAAAGTAGAAGCCAGAAAGTTAGAATATGATTATCCTAAACCCTTTATGGTAAATTATAAGGTATCCTACCCTGAAACCATATTCCAACTTTCTGGAGTTCCCTTTAAAGGATTCCTTCAATTTAAGGAGCCGAAGACAGTACGTAGCTTCCCGGAAGTTGCGATAGTAAGTAGAAGATCCTTACTGCCAGGACCCTTCAAAACGGTGCTTTTCTCAAACCCTTAGTCTCAGGATCCTTCATGTGGGAACCTGATTAAGAAATCCGGGGCCATTCCCCGAAAAGAAGGGGCCATATAAAGCACCCACATAAAGGCCCAGGGTTTCTTCATCAGGTTCCTACATTATTACAAACACGAAAGTCCCTACCCTAAAAGCCCTAAACCGCTACGCCCCTGAACCCCTAAACCCCTAAGCCGACGATTCGATGCAGGTCCAAAGCTAAAGCTGGTCCGGGGCTCCGGGCCAGCTCCAGAGATCTCGCAGAAGCTTCGGCCACCGACTGCGATGGACGGGCCCTGAAGGCATCGGAGGTGGATTGGGATGTTTTAGAAGTTTAGGGGTATACCGTATACCTTATTTGGCCATTTGGAAGTGCTTAGACTAAAGTTGGAGTAAGGGCCCTACTTTGTGGCGTTTTGCCTTTGTCTGAAAACTACCATTTTCCGGAGGTTTTCGAAGACTTTCCCAGCCTGCAAGAGATGGAGGAGCTCTTGGGGGGAGAGCCCCAAGTCTTGCGGGACCTGGCGGGCTGGGTTTCGCAGCAGGTGGCTCTGGAGCGCTGCCACTTTGCCATAGTTGGGTAACATATTACATGTTTATGGGTACTTAGAACTAAGTCTTGCAGTGCTTCCCAGCTGATCGGCAGAGTCTGGGTTCAAAAAAATGGATACTTAGAATTCAATATTTAATGAACATGCTTTTTTACATCTTTTAGGGGTACGTAAATCCAATGAGGCTCAATAAGGAATGGAAACTTATATCTTCAATACTCTCCCAACCATGAACCAGGCCATGTGGAGGCGGCCCTTCATCTGCTCCAGGATGGGGCCTCCATTCACTTCATCGCTTCATATCGCAGCTTTGTCATAGTTGGCTAACATTTTAGATGTTTTTGGGTACTGAAGCCCAATAAGGAATAAGAATCTGTTGATGGCGTTGAGCTGTATGCGCTTATGTACTGCAGCCTTGATGGCTGAGCCTTTCGAACTTCGAGCTAAGCTCACGACAGCTAGTCAAGCACAGTTCTGTAAAGTTGTACAATGGACTGTAGACAGCATTCACAGATCAAGGTCTTGTCGTGTGGTAAAATTCGAACTGAAGCGCGCTGTGCCATGTCTTTGCCCTAGCTCCGTTGCCTCGACGATTGCAACATGATCCCATGATCCCCGTAGATCTTCAGGGTATGAGCCCAAAACCAGCCATTGTGCTTGAGGGCGAGGTCTCAGGACCACGATATGGTGCAACGACGGCTGCTGAGGACCCAGCTGCAGGACTGCCTAGTGATACGCAGGATGTTGGTGTTTCGTCAGTTGTGGCTGGAGAGAACATCCAGCCCCCAGTCGTTGAACAAGAGCCGCGTGAAGCCGCCACCTTGGAAGCTCCTTCTATGGGGCAGCAGGGTGCTGGAACTGCGCTGCCGGTTGGATCGGAAGCACCTGCCGCTTTGGGTTCCTTTGGTTCGGGGTCAGCTTCAACTTCGCAGATGGTCTATACTCAGGTGGGCCAGCGGGTTGAGGTTGGTGGAATGGAGTTCTCGCCTCCTGAGGACTTCCCCAGTAACTCTGCTCAGCAAGGAACTGGAGCTCAGAACCTTTGGATAATGCGGCTTGGTGAGTTTGTGCAAAGGAGAGTGAGCCAAGCAGGGGCCATGATGACGCCTATTTTGGAGTCTCGACATGCCAGGACACCTAATCAGGTTGCTACGCCCCCTGCTCGACAGCCCAGACTGTTTACACCTGAGGCAGAACATGCAATGGCACAGTGGGCGAGACGGGCTCCTCACCTCCACACTCCTGAGCCTCCAGCAAGGCCAGCGGAGGTATCTTCCTCGAGCGGTTCGCTTTCTCAGGAGCAGCTCCTTGCAGAGGTGAAGCGGCAGGTTCAGCGAGAAATGAGAGTACACGATGAGCAGAATCAGAACTTGATACAGGAGAACCAGCAGCTGCGAACTATGCTGCAGAAGGTTTTGGGAGAAATGAGTGCGCGAGGCTTGGGAGGTCAAGGAGAAGAAGATGGACGTGGAACTTCAGGAGGACCTCAGGGAACCGAGGCCGCTCCACCAGCGGATCGTGATGGCAATCCTCCTGGACTACGTCTTCCTTCCAGCGGAGATGGAGGAATTCCCTTCGGACCTCAACCTGATGGCCCTCGCGTGACCTTCCCACAACATGCAGGTGATCCTCCTGGACAACGAGAAGGAGCTACAGGCTTCTGCGGTGATCCCCTGGGAGTACGTGGACGTGATCTAGGATGCGGTCCACTTGGTCCTGGAGAGTGGGGTGGTGATCCTTCGGCTCCTGTTGCAGGTGAATCACGAGGCCACGACTCGGCACATGGAGGGCCGAGCACGGCGAGAAGCCCCATCGATCCAATGGGGGCTCTAATGCAGGGCATGGCGCAGTTGCAGAATGCCATGTCGCAGAGTTTGTCTTCCAAGGCAAAGGAGCCGGAACAGGTTAAGCCGGGCGTGGCGGAGTTGCCGAAGTTGGCCGAGCTTTCCAGCAACTCAGCCATCGACGTGGGAGACTGGCTACACGGCCTACAGAATCATATGGGCGACCTCTCCAATGGCAGCAGTGCGTGGTGGAAGGAGATCCTTAAATGCCTGGTTGCCTACTACGTGGTTTATATGTCCTCTTCCCATGTGGGCAAGCTTGCGGTGAAGCCGGAGGCCTATGAGTCGGAGGAGCTCAGGGATGTCAGATGGGCCAGGGTGGATAAGAGGGCGGCTGCGATGATCTTGGGAAGTGTCCCGGAGACAGTCAAGAGTGAGGCAAGGGTGAATGGAACGCTGCCCATGCTGGCAAGAATCATCGTCCTCTATCGCCCCAGCTCTGTTGCGGAGCGCCAGCAGATCTTGAAGGCGCTCGAAGCCCCTGGTACGGCCGCTAATGCTGTGGACGCCGTGAACGAGCTAAGGAAGTGGAGCAGGTGGATGTCGAGGGCTACAGACATGGGGCTTCAGCCCCCGGACGCCAGCGTCCTCATCAAGGGCTTGGACCAGCTCGTGAAGGTTGTCTTGACTGAGAACCAGGACATTGCCTTCCGAGTCTCAATGCTCCGATACAACATGGAAGTGGACACACGGCCCACAGTCAAGGGCGCTAAGGACTTGCATCAGGCTTTGATGTCGGAGTTGGAGCAAGTTGCGTACAGGAGCAGGCCTGGATCTTCGAGTGCCCCGTTTGTCAAGGCAGCGACGGCACTACCTTCAACAAGGCCGTCAGCAACTCCACCTGCAGATGGTGGCGCCAGTGTTGGGAGCCCGAAGGCCAAGGCAAAGCCTAATTGCCGTTTCTACCTGACGGACAAGGGATGTTCCAGGGGCAGTGCCTGCACCTTCTCCCACAACTTCACCCGCAAGGAGAAGGCTGGGAGGTGCTGGACATGTGGGAGTACGCAGCACCAACAGAATGCTTGCCCCACCAAGGCAGGCGGAACCAGCCCCACAGCAAAGCCGGGTGGAGCTCCGGGACCCAAGCAGTCGTCGATCGTGGCGTCTGCGACAGTTACCAATGCAGCCGGAAGTGAGGGCACCGCGGTTACTACCGGCGGCACTACTTCATCCACTACTACCGCGCTGCCAACGGAGCCTACCACGGGATCTACTACTTCGTCGCTCCCGGAAGGGGAGCTGAAGAGCTTGCTTCAGGAGGCTTCGGCGATGCTTAAGGAGATCCGGCAGCTCAAGATGATGGCGCTCTCGTCCACGCAGGTCGAGAATCAGGCGGTTGGACACAAGTGCAACCCAATGGACGGGAGAACTGGGCTGTTGGACTCTGGAGCTAGCCACCCATTTAGGGAGGCAACTGAGGAGGAGCTATGTGACGCTGACCTGGTGCGTGTGCAACTTGCAGACGGCAAGGAAGTTGTTCTCGGCCAAGGACCAAGTGGAACTCTTCTTACCCGGAAGTCCGGGTCTAATGCCTCTGGTCCGATTGTGCCCCTCGGAGCGTTGGTCCAGGACTTAGGCTGCCAAGTGTCTTGGACGAGACGAGGAGGTCTGGTCATTCGTCACCCTGAACATGGAGTGATCAGGCCAATGCTGCAAGGAAGGTGCCCTGTGGTGGCGGAGGCCCAAGCGTTGGACCTCATCCGCGAGATTGAGTGCGAAAAGCTGCGGGATTTGCAAAGGGCTACGCGAGCGACTGCGAGATCGTTGTGGCTTTGGGACGTTGAGAAGCCATGGGCGAAGCACTTGGAAGACTTTGTGAAGACGGGCTCTCGGGCCTCGCAGCTGCAAGCTTTGTCTGTTGAAGGCTCGCCGTTTGCGTCCTGGACTGCGCTGGAGAGATCGGTGATTTCGGAGGCGATAAGCCTGGATGATAAGTCGGGTTGGACGTTTCTGAGGGCAATGCCGGGGTCACGACAAAGGAGAAAGAGGTTGATGACTACCCCCTGGGTGTTGCATTTGTTCTCTGGACCTGGTAAGTCCTTGGATCCAGTTTTCCGGGAGCTTGATGACGGCAGAGTGCTGGTGCAAGTGGACATCAACCGATCCAAGGCGGAGGACTTGAGCATGGTGGCGGGAGTATACAGGGCTCTGCTGTGGGCTGCGGCAACTGGCAGAATTGATGGAATCATTGGAAGCCCGCCCAACAAACCGGAGTTGGTTCAGAAGATGATGTGGTTGTCAGTGGTTTCAAAGGCAGCTAGGGCTGTGCATGGTGGCCACCCGGTTTTCGTGCTTATGGAGAGCCAGAAGGTGATGAAGTTGGCGCGCAATCCGGGTGTGGACAAGTGGAGTTCGGTGTCGTCTTCATGGGACGCGTTCATGGAAGCGGCTTGCCTTGAGGAGGTGGGCCCCAACGTGGTGACGAACCTCAACTTAGAGGACCCTGTCCCGTTGGCGACCGGCAGTGATTTGGCTTGGACTGTGGAGTTCAAGCGAGCTATTGCTTCATCCGCTACGAGATGGGGCCGTGAACCGGATGCACTTCAGGTGGTCAAGTGGATGAAGAAGCTTGATGCTGAGCAGGGTAAGTTCTTGGAAGGCTTTACGGATAAGGAGCTACAGATGTGGCGCACACATGTGCGCAACAACCATTTGCCTTTCAATCGAAGATGCGGCACCTGTGTGAGATCTTCGGCAACAGGTCGGGCTCATCGTCGGGTTCGTCATCCCAGTGCACATTGCTTGAGTTTGGATGTTGCGGGCCCTTTCAGGCAACGAGCTGCGGACCCCAATCACAATGACTATCGCTACCTGCTTGTTGGAGCCTACTTGATGCCAAGGCCACCTGATGTACCACCACCTTCCAAAGAGCCTCCCAAAGAGCCACTTGATGTACTACCACCTTCCGAAGAGCCACTTGATGTACTACCACCTTCCAAAGAGCCACTTGATGTACTACCACCTTCCGAAGAGCCACTTGATGTACTACCACCTTCCAAAGAGCCACTTGATGTACTACCACCTTCCGTAGAGCCACCAAGCGAGTCACTTGATGCACTACAATCTGAGTCGGATGACACGGGCTGTGGTGTTGGAAAGGTAGATCCTGGAGCTGGATTCTCAGTTTTAGATCCGTTTGTCGATGACCACGATGATCCTCACCCTATGCAAGAAGCTCCTGAAGGGCGAGTTCGGGAAGTTCCTGATGATGATACCAGCGAGTTACGCGGGCTGTCCCAGGAGGAGTTTGAAAGGATCTATGACGAGGTCGGCCAGGAGCTTGATTACGAGACGGTGTACGTGGTTAGACCAATGAGAACAAGGACGGCAGCGGAAGTCATGGCGGCGGTTCAGGAGTTGGTGTTGAAACTACGAGCAGAGGGCTTGCACATTTCTCGTGTTCATTCGGACCGGGCAAGAGAGCTTCGAGTTGAACCTCTACGTCGCTGGCTCTTAGAGAGGGGAGCCCTTTCTACGTATACTGAAGGACAAGCGCCTCAGTCAAATGGGCGTGCGGAGGCGGCTGTCAAATGGGTGAAGACGGCTGTGAAACGATTGCTTGAGTCCTCGGGCCTCGGGAAGGAAAACTGGGCGGTGGCGGCCAACTACGCAGCACAGGAGCAGATGGAGAAGGTTTTGAGGCGATCTTCGCCTATGCTACCGTTCGGGACAAAGGTGCATGTGCGGTCAAAGGTGTACGGGACAGGAGGGAGATACGACTTGGACTCAAGATGGAAGGCAGGCCGCTACGTAGGTCCAAGTTTGGAAGTTCGGGGCGGTCACCTCATAAGGTTTGAGAACAGGGCCTACATGACGTCTACTCATCTACGACCTTATTTACGGGAGCCTGATCAGATGTTTGATCTTGATGAGTATGAGGTGACGTTACCGGTTCCGGCGAGGAGATTGAGAACGAAGCTTGGAGCGAAGGACCTGGAGCTTCCTGATGATGCCGGTGATGGCCCTCCTAACTACGATCCTGAGCATCCTGCTGAGCAATTTGCGCTTCGTTTGTTAGAAGAAGAGCGCCTGACCCCGGACCAGCTAGAGATTTTGGCTTTGATGCTTCCTTCGAATGCTCCCCTCCCAAAACGATTTGGTCCTCAAGCAGAAGCCCAGAAGATGTGGATCTCTGGAGCGTTTGTCCATGGAGGTATAGTGGGGGTAAAGAATGCTACTTCAGCTTTTCCGGCGAGTACAAAGGCCCTTGTTAAGTACGTGAAGCAGCTTCAGCCCGACCACAAGTTCAATGCAGTGGCTGTCTCGGTTAATGTAGAGGCCCAACAGCATGTCGATGCTCACAACGTTGGAAATAACTTGATTGCTGGGCTGTCCTACTTCAAGGGTGGCGCGCTGGAGGTTGAGGAGCCGACTGGTGTGAAGATTTTGCCCTTGGACGGTGATCAAACGCATCAACTCTTCAACCCCAAGTACAAGCATTCAACAAGGCCCTGGTACGGTGGAACAAGAGTTGTTTTGGTTGCGTACTCAGTGAGGGACAGTGGAAAACTGGGTGAAGCGAGGACCTCGTACCTTCGTGAGTTTGGTTTTGATTGGGATCCTCATTTGTCAAGGCCTGATGAACCACAAGAACCACCAGTGTCAGCATTGAAAGCGATGCGAGTTGGACTCATGGATGCCAGTCAGCCAGACAGGAATGACCATGCCCTACGCCCTGGAGCGGATCGGGGTGATCAATACGAAGCCCACCCAGAACAACCTGCAGATGCTAATCGAGGCCTTGATGGTGGGAGCAAAAATTCTTCGGCTCACTACATGACTCATGACCTCGAATTGGCCATCGGAGACCTCGAGGACCGAGCTGCTCGCTTACGCGATCTACTTGAGGAGGAGGAAATCCTCAGTGAAGAGTACCGGCGAATGGGACAAGAGACCCGGGTGCACCTCACAGACACGAGGGATCAAGTGAGTGAGTTTCTCGAGTATGTGCACCAGGAGTTGGTGGGCCTAGAGCGAGTGAAGTTGATGGCTTGCGTAATGTCGGCAAGGACTCCGGCCGAGGGTGCGGGAGAGGAGGAGATCGACTACGAGGCTTTGCTTGAAGGTTTAGAGGAGGACTTGAAAGTCGTTCATACTGTGCCCACAGCCCAGGTCAAACAATATCTGTCGCGGTGGACCGAGGCCATCCGGAAGGAAGTTGAGGCTTTGTTTTCTTCTGGAACTTTGAGAAGGGTGACCATTGAAGAGGCCAGACGCCTGGAATCCACCAAGCAGGTGATCTTCGCTCCCGCCAAGTGCGTGTTCACCCTAAAACCCCCCCAGGTTGTGGGGAAGAAGGCGCGGCGCAAATGCCGCCTTGTGATATGTGGAAACTTTGTGAAGGACAACCAGTGCTTTGGCGACTTGTACGCCGCTGGCACATCTACGGACGCGCTGAGGTTGAGTTTGGTCATCGCGGCCATTCGCCAATGGGTCGCTGGGATCAGCGACATCACAGGGGCGTTCCTTTTGGCCACGTGGCCGGAGAATCTCCCGAAGTATGGAATATACCCTCCTCGTGTTGTTCGGGATGCTGGAATAACTGGCAATGAAGCTTGGATAGTTGAACGGCCATTATACGGTCTTCGGGAGTCTCCTCGCATTTGGAACACCTACAGGAATGATCGACTCCGCAAGGCTCGTGTTTGCGTCGGAGACTTGGTGCTGATCTTGAGACCTACTGTTTCAGAGCCTGAGCTTTGGACGGTCCTGTGTGAGGTTACTGGGACTATGCATGGTCTTATCGTCCTTTACGTGGATGACATCGCCTATTTCTCTACCGAGCCCATTGTCAAGGCGTTGCATGCCTTTATCATTGAGGAGTGGCCAGCCTCCGATTTGGAATGGGTGAATGACTTGGAGCCGGTGAGGTACTTGGGCATGGAGATTCAAACGGACTCTCGAGTTGGTTCTGATGGAGTGGCAAGGCGAGTCTTCACTGTGGGGCAGTCGGCCTACGTGAAGGACGTTCTCATGTCTTATGGGCTGGAGGGATGCCATACCACTCAGCTACCTGTTCCACGTGAGTGGATTGAGCAAGCTGAAAACGATGATGAGCCTGAGCCTGATATTGATGAGGAAGCGATTAGAAAGGCTCAGAAGATCGTTGGCGAGCTCCTTTGGCTAGCGACCAAGACGAGGCCAGACTTACTGTTCACGACCAGCCATATGGCTATGACTTTGGCAAAGAAGCCAGCCTACGTCTCTCGAGTGGGGCAGCGAGTCTTGACCTACCTGGCGGGATCAGCGGACCTTCGGCTTACCTTAGGTCCAACAGAGGAAGTACCCAATGAACTGATTTGTTTTACCGACGCCTCCTATGCTCCGTATGGTCGTCGCAGCTTTGGGGCTGCTGTTGTAACTCTGGCTGGGTGTCCAATTGCCTGGAAAGCAGGCCGCCAATCGTTTATCACCCTCAGCGTTATGGAAGCAGAGCTCTACGCAGCAACGCAGGGGTGCACATTGTTAAGTTCGATCCATGCTTTGCTCGACGAGGTGTGTCCCGGCAGGTTTGTCAGGATCCTCGCCGTCGATAATCAGAGCGCGGTTTCAATGTGTGCTGGAGGCCCTGGATCCCAAAGGACTCGTCACCTTAAGATTAGGGCAAACTACGTGAGAGAGAGCGTGGAGAATGGCACCCTTGTTGTACGACATGTCCCAGGGGATCTTCAACTGGCAGATCTGGCAACCAAGGTTCAACCAAAGTTGCGACTTCAGAGGTTGTTGCAGCTTTGGGGCTTTGTTGGGTTTGCAACTGAGTGGATCAAGGAGCTAAAGTTGAAGTTGATGATGATCCTGGTGACGATTGCTCAGTGCGTGTGTCCAGCACGTGGCGCGGAACTGGAGTCGAAGGACCCCTTGCCTACTACCGGATGGGACGAGCTACTACTAGTTTGTCTGGTGGTTTCAGTGTTCGCGGTGATTGCTTGGGAGGGTGTCCGATGGGCTTATAGGGAGTGCAAGCGGTGGCAAAAACGAGTCAGGCGTGCCAAGAAGTTAGAGGATGTTGGTCGTCTTGCTGCTGGTGCGGCGAGGCGTGAGATCGCGGAGGTGAGCCGGAGAAGTGAACTTCGACGGAGGAGACCACCTACGCCTCCTATCCCTACGCCGCCTGGAACTCCGCCGACTTCTACGTCCAGGACACCTGCGACTCCACGGGCGTCTCCGTTGAGACCGTCTACGCCTATGGCATCTCCGAGTACTACTACATCAGTGTCTCAAACCCCGCGCCCACCATCACCGGTGATGATTCCGCAACGTGAGCAGCCTGGTGTCGATGAACGGTCAGAGAGAGAGCGTGTTTGCTTTGACACTCTGATGTTGATGACCACTGAGGACCTGAAGGCTGCCTTGAGAGATTTAGGGTTGCCTGTGTCCGGATTAAAGATGAACCAGGCTCGACGTCTTGCTGAAGTCATGATCAACTCTGATGCCACCAATCGGCAGTACCGTTACGTGCTGTACTTGTGGCGGCACCACTCGTTGTCCTACAAGTGCCGTCTGAAGTGGGAGAACCTTTCTTCGAAGACTAGAGTGTCTGCTTGGATTGCCAGGTGGAAGGAAGGCTAGACAGTGGCATTTTGTCACATTCCACAGCTAAGAAGGCTGTGACGAGCGCGAATACAGCACATAAGTACCTCGAGGCCGGAGGCCAGAGGTAAGGAGGAGTGTTGATGGCGTTGAGCTGTATGCGCTTATGTACTGCAGCCTTGATGGCTGAGCCTTTCGAACTTCGAGCTAAGCTCACGACAGCTAGTCAAGCACAGTTCTGTACAGTTGTACAATGGACTGTAGACAGCATTCACAGATCAAGGTCTTGTCGTGTGGTAAAATTCGAACTGAAGCGCGCTGTGCCATGTCTTTGCCCTAGCTCCGTTGCCTCGACGATTGCAACATGATCCCCGTAGATCTTCAGAATCTTAAAACAAATCCTATCCCAACCATGAATAAGGCAAGGAGATGACGGGATGCATGAAGGAGCAGAAGCTGCACGAGATTGAGCGGGAGATGAAACGGGGACTGGCGTTAGAGACCAGGCGCAGGCAGGTGGCGCTGGAGTTGCAGAGCCGTGGGCAACTTACCGAGGAGAGGAAGAAAGATCTGCTAGAGGCGGGAACGGCAGAAGACCTAGATGATATTTGGGCGCCCTTCCAACATGCAGAGGGGGCTGGCATGGACCTTGGCATGGGCCCGCAACTCTGTGGTCCAGTCAATGCTTTTATATGTGTTTTTTGGTGTAATGCTGAATGCTTGTTTTAAAACGTTGAAAGTCTTTCAATCCACTACTATTACCAGGCCTGATTCTGCCAAAAACAACTCCTGGAACAATCCCACTGGTCTGCACGGTAAGGCAAGACTTGCAGCTCCTGGCCACTTTGCTCGAAGATTCGGCGAGGCATGGCGAGGAGGTCTGCGAAAGTCCGGCAGAAGCGGCAGCGCGCATCCTCAAGCTCTGCGGTCTGGAGGTGGGTTCTGGAGCGTTCGTAGGAATCATGTCCCATGATTTGCAATATCATACAGCTCCAGAGGATGTTTTAGGGTTTAGGATCGCATAGGGTTTGTTTTGGTAGTGAATAAAAAGGGGGTTGTCTCAGGGTTTCATTGGGTTTTCAAGCCTCAAACTCCTTGTTGTTTAAAGCATGCTAGGCGCTAGCCCTCCGAGCTGGATCTGTTGTGCTCCTCCCTTGTCAGGACAAATGATGCAAGCAGTCCGTCGTAGTCTTGTCTTGCAGATTGACTTACAGAGCTTGCGAGGTTCAGTGGATTTCTTGTTCGGTAAACCTATCCCTGAACCCATAGAAACCTGAAGCCGAAAACCTTGAAGCTTGCCTAGAAGAGGTCAACCTTGCGGCATCAAGTCCCTGCACGCCTCCCAAGAGCGGTGCTCAAGAGATGAGTCCGTCTCTTGGCCCAAAGCTGCCTTCGGCTGCCGGCAGACCTTTTCTAAGTTTATGGGTTTACCCAGACCCACCTCTTTAAGGCTTTGTTTTTTGAAAATCATAAGACGGAACCGTATAAAGCTAGATTCTTTAGGGTCCAGGTAGGGTTTTGCGGCATGTGCAATCACAGGAAGGGCGAAGAAGCTCGAGCAGAGGAGCTTTCCACGCCCGCAAAGGTGGGGGGGGGGGGTGTTTGCCGACACGGAGCGTGCATGTGAAAGCAAGCCCCAAAACCTTGTAGAACGAAGGCCCAAAATCTTGTTAAGGAAGTAGTTTAAAGTTATCGTAATATAGTCTCCATTGTAGTTCATTTGGGGGTTACCAAAAAGTATCCTAAGTTTAAAAAGTCAAAACCAACAAGGAACTACACTGTACACTACAGGTAGAGCCCTTACCAGGGTCTCCAAGGACTTCAGAGTTTGGTCTTGGGCTTCGAGGGTTGTGGGCCTGGAAAGGATACTGCGGTGTGTCTGAGGGGAAGTGGGGCCTCGGGCTTCAAGTTCAGGATTTCGCCTGCAGGTTTAGGGGGTATAGGGTCTAATAGGGGTTTAAGCATGATTGAAGCTGAATGCAATCAGAAAACTTCTGTCTGGGCTTTTGCGCACCTTGAACCCGAAGCCAGAAAATCATCGTCACCTTGCTGGACATCAACCCCGAAGCCATAAATATGTTTCAAAGTCCGAAACCCAACACCGTCATGTGTAAGGTAAAGACATCCAAAATCTCCACGACCCACGCCCTGAGCACAAACCCCTGCAATTGTGAGGGGCCCAAACGACGCCGCTTCCCATCTGCCGTGGAGGAAATTCCAGCAGCAGAGATCCTTGGAACATTATGGCAAACCTTAAACCCTAAACCCCTATAGAAACCCTAAACCCTAGTAAGGTGGTGGGAGCTTAGGGAGTTGTTGAATGCGTCAGATGTCGAATTTTTGGTAAACATCGAATCTTTGGTCGGTGCGCAATAGCCAATTGAGCTGAGTTTGGTGTTTCTCTAAGCTGCTATCCTTGTCCCTGTAAACCCTAAACCCCTAAATCCTAAACCCTAGACTAAACCTTAAAACCCTAACTCTGATTTTGCCATCGGTCTGCACTTGGCAGAAGAAGTGGTCCTGCTGGCTTGCGGAAAACAGAGTCACTACAGCTGCAAGGCCACCACATCCTTCACTCCGAAACGGAACAATGGACCCTGTTCGGGTTTAGAGCGTTTTAAGATTTGGGGGGTTTTGGCGTTTAGGGTCCAGCCTGAATCGTGTTTTGGCAGCCAGCAAGCCGAGTTTCAAGAAGACGTGCACCCTGAGCCCCTAAACCCTTCAACCCTAAATCCTGAACCCTAAACTCTGAACCCCTAATCCTAAACCCTAAACCCTAGGCACATGCGAGAATCGGTCTTGTTCTCTTTTCACACCGACTCCGCACCTCGCCTTGCTGTGTCCGAGTTGTGAGAGCGTAAACCCTAAACCCATAAACCCCTAAACTCCTAAACACCTAAACCCCTTAACCCTAAACATCTGTTGCAAGGGCTGCGAACTACCGAGGCAAAAGGACGATCTGCCCAACGAAGCGCGGGAGATGAGGGAGTCGCCGTGAAAAATGCCCGCTATCAGGGAACCTTCCTTGGGGACCCCCAAAAGGACATAAACATATCCATTTTATAGGGCTATCCCTGCCTTATTGGGCTTCATTGTAAGGGGCTTTATTATGGGAGATCCCTATCCTATTCTATTGCTTATGTGCCTTTCTGGGGCCCTATTCCTTGCAAAGTTCGACCCGGCGGCGGAGCCAATCCGGGCTTCGGACTCCTCTCGTTCAACAAGAGGTGTTGGACGGAGATTGATGAATTCAAAGGATATGGCTGACAATTTCGACTGAAGTCAGCGTGGGGATTGGCCACCATGTAGATGTTGACCTGGGTGGCATTTAGAGCTTCTCAAAACTCGGGGTGCCTTGTGCATCATGTCAGCAGGGGTCCTACGATAAGGCTAGGGCACATGGTCTGTAGAAGCATTTTGTGCAGCTTTTCGAATCCCCCCCACCCCAATAGTAGCACCCTAAACCCTATAAACCCTGAACCCGAAACCCTAAACCCACTTACAGTAATTCATCCTTATGGTGCTGTGGTGCGCGCCCTGGGTCTTGACAAGCTCTCTCTTTCGTGAGTCCTAGAGGCCAGAGGCCTCGCATCGATTCGGTTTAGGGTTTAGGGACCCTAGGGGTTCCTTTTCAGGGATCTATAAGGGATGTATAGGGGCGGTAGAGTCTAGGGTTTAGGGATACCAAATTTCAGACATACTTTCCTCAGCGCCTCGCGAGGTAGGTCTAGTCACGAACCAGAAACCTCCAGAATCAGCAAATACCTCTCGCCGAGCCTCTCGCCTCTGGGCTACCTGGACCTGGAGTTTATTCTCATGGGAAGTAGGCTGTGAGGAGCTGAGACGTGCACAGGTCGAGTCTCACTGCCGCGACGATGTCGCTCCAACCAGGGCCTTCGTTTTGTCATGTGGGTAGTTGTCAAAATTATGGCCCTTTTTTGGGTACCCTAAATATTAGGTGCCGTATTGTAATCGGGACCCAAAAAGGGACCCTAATTTTGACAACCACCCATGTAGCTTAATCCTCTAGCCGCTAGTCATGATGCACCGTCGAGGACTTGAAGTTGCCATGTAAGCTTATGATGGAAGTCGTAGGTCACGAGCTTCATGGTTGAAGACGGCGGAGACGCCGATTATTTCGTAATGAGAAGGATGTCAGGATCTTCAGGTTCGGTGGCCGAGATTCGAAAGAGGAATAAAAGGCCGTTGCAGATTGGAGAAGTTGACAACCACAAAGTTGCCTTATTACTTTATCATGCATGCCCAAAACTATGCGACTGCGTTGTTTGTACAGGCAGATCGCGAGGCCCCATCTCAAAACGAATTCCTCCACCTGGTGGTCAAGACTGTCTGTATGTCAGCGAGAAGCAGTGTCGGAGGATGTCCGAGGATGTCAAGTCCCCCCACACAATAAAAATATCATCATCCATTCCCGCTTGATTCTACTGCTTTGGCACAGAGCGGAGTGGATGCGGACGTTTGGATACAAGAAATCTCCCTGGAGCCTAGGCCCCTGACATCCCCTGACCCTTAAAAATCGCTTGAGCGCCATGAGCTCGACAAGCGCCAACGCAGCAGCAGCTGCTGACGCACACGATCCGGAGCCGACTCCCCTGCTCGCGGCTGCAGCTTTCATGCACATGGACAGCTACTGCTTAGGGCTTAGGGTTTTGGGTTTAGGGTTTAGGGTTTAGGTATGACTTTCAATTTGGTTGGGTTGGCCCTAGAGCCCTGAATCGCGATGTTCGCCTCAAGCCGAACCGGTTAGGGATTGGTTTGCATGATTCAACGAATGAGAGTAGGCACAACCTCACTGATTGCCCTTTGCGGAAAGCCCCTGGTGCTGGTCGCTAAAAACACCTCACGGAGGTACTGAACAGGCAGAAGATGCGATTGAGCTTGAAACGCCCAGTCCGAGCCGTTGCCAAGAGTGCCTGAGCTGTAGTTGGCCGACATGTTGCTGATAATTTGCCCTCGTCTTGATCTGATAGGTCAGGGTCAGGGTTCGGACAGTATCGCAGCACGCAGTGTTGATGACATGTTTGGCCCACTCTTGTGGCACGGCATTCCGACATGTCTGAGCCGGTGTGGTTTTGCAAGGCAAGCCTGCAAGTCGTGCTCCAAAGCCGAAGCTTGCAAAGGCGCCTTGCACACGCAGACATGCATGCAATCAATATTATATCTACATGACATACGTACGTATGATCAGCCAAGCGGGAGCCAACAGTACTTGCATGTACAAAAAATGCACGAGGTGCTACTATTTCTTTTTGACATACGTACACAAATACTGTCGATGGTACGGGTAGCTCAGTTTTAGCAGCAGCAGCAGGAGGAGGAGCAGGAGTAGGAGCAGGAGCAGCAGTAGGAGCAGGAGGAGGAGGAGGAAGAGGAGGAGGAGGAGGAGGACGAAGAGGAAGAGGAGGAAGAGTCGGAGAAGTAGTAGTAGAAGTAGTAGTAGTAGTAGTAGTAGTAGTAGTAGTAGTAGTAGTAGTAGTAGTAGTAGTAGTAGTAGTAGGAGTAGTAGTAGTAGTAGTAGGAGTAGTAGTAGTAGTAGTAGTAGTAGTAGTAGTAGTAGTAGTAGTAGTAGTAGTAGTAGTAGCTGTTGTTGTTGTTGTTGCTGTTGCTGTTGCTGTTGCTGTTTCTGTTGCTGTTGCTGTTGCTGTTGTTGTTGTTGTTGTTGTTGTTGTTGTTGTTGTTGTTGTTGTTGTTGTTGTTGTTGTTGTTGTTGTTGTTGTTGTTGTTGTTGTTGTTGTTGTTGTTGTTGTTGTTGTTGTTGTTATGAGTAGGAGTAGGAGTGCCGGCGCTCTTACTCTTACCCTCGCTCTTGCCTTGGGGCATGTTATTACAACAACAACAACAACAACAACACCACCACCAACAACAACAACAACAACTACTACTACTACTACTACTACTACTACTCCTGCTCCTGCTGCTGCTGCTTCTGCTGCTGCTACTACTACTACGACGACTACTACTACTACTACTACTACTACTACTACTGCACTACTACTACTGCTACTGCTACTGCTACTGCCAGTGCTACTGCTACTGCTACTGCTACGACCCCGACGACATCATCATCACCAGCATAACCATCATCATTGTCATTATCATCTCCATAACCACCACCATCTTCACCATCATCTTAATCATCAGCTCGTCACCATCATCAGTACCAGCGGTCCATCACTACTATCACTACGACCTGCGCTGCCACTACTATCACCACCTACCCAAATACATGAGCCGCAGGCTGAAGTGGTAGATGAGCCGCAGGCTGAAGTGGTAGAAGGTGCACCGGAAGATGAGGAAGATGCCCTGGAGTCCCGACTGAGCAAGACAAGATCCCGGGCGAGGGCATCAAAGCCCAAGGCCAAGCCCAAAGCAAAAGCAAAGGCGGGTCCGGCCAAGGCCAAAGCCAAGGCCAAAGCCAAGGCCAAGGCCAAAGCTAAGGTGAAGGCCAAGGCTAAAGCCAAGGTGCGAGGGACGCCGAAGGCCAAAGCCAAGGGCGGCAAGGAGGGCATGGCTTTGGCCGGTGATAGCGAGGGCTGGGACAGCTCCGAGAACGGTTCCCCCAATCTAGCTGATGCTCAAAAGGTGCTGGGAGATCAGTCGCAGATCCGGAAGGATGAGGCAGGCTGGATCGCGGCGCAGCTGGGCTTGGAGAAGGGGCACGTGGCAGGGGCGGTTCGCCTCTTCCAGGAGGGAAGCACACTGCCCTTCATCGCACGATACCGGAAAGAGCAGACAGGCTCCATGAACGAAGAGAACCTGCGGCGCATCGAGCGTGAGCTGAATCGCGTGAGGGACCTCGAGACGAAACGGGCCAGGGTAGCCCTGGCCCTGCAACGGGGGAAGCACCTCACCCCAGATCCTTATTGGCTGTAGACTCAACTTTTCAACTTTTTTGGGGTTCTTAGAAGGTAGTCGATTCTGAAGGTTTCAACTTTTATTTCCTTGGGTTTTGGGCCAGTGAGGATCTCGGTCAGAGCTTGCTGCAAGCAGAAAGCTTGGAGGACATCGATGCTTTGTGGGCGCCCTTCAAAGCCAAGAGACAGACCCGGGCCCAGGTGGGAGATGCCGAAAATTAGGGGTAGCTTATGTTAAGGTCTCCCCAGAGATCCCAATACCCCTTAATTAAGGAATATACGTTAAATGATAGTAGGATCCCTAATATGATTTGAGGTATACCCCTTAATTAAAAGGATTATTGGGTTCTCTGGGTCCCAGGTGGCTTATTTGGGGGTCCTTAAAATAAGGATCCTTATTATTTTATGGGTACTACATCAGGGTCCCTTGCTACTTAAAGGATCATGGGACTTAGTAACTAGGGTTATAATTAGGGTAACTATACTTATAACCCCAATTAGGGTACTTATAACCTTACTTACTAAGTCCCATGATCCTCCAAGTAGTATTTTCAGAAACTCCCAGGTGGCGAAGTCTCTTGGCTTGGAGCCCTTGGCCAGCCTCTTGGAAGAGGCGGCAAAGCAGCTCGCCCCGAGGAAGATCGAGGCCGGATTCCAAGTGTGGAGGTTTGAAAGTAGGAAACCCAAAAAAGGCCCTGAAGGGCCCTACTTAAAGGATCATGGGACTTAGTAACTAGGGTTATACTTAAGGTAACTAAACTATATTTATATAGTTACTTATTACCTCACGTAGGGTACTTATAACCCCACTTACTAAGTCCCAGGATCCTCCAAGTATACCCTGAATCTTAAACGCAAAACTTTGAACCCAGACGTGCCCGGTAATTGAATCTTAAACCCTGAACCTTAATCCCGCTACCTTGAACCCTGAACCCGACATTCTGAACCCTAATCGTAGCGGTTCCTAGCCAAGCCACCTTACCGTTTTAGTTAGAAGTGCGAGAAACTCGAGCGTGCGGGAGGCAGAAGCCCTGACACCCCAAGACGCCGAAGCCGAGAAGAGCGTGGAGGCAGAGAAGCCCAGCGAGGCCACAACCGATCGGAGGGAGGTAGAGCCGTTTAGGGTAATAGGGTTTAGGGTTTGAAAGGGATGTCCGAAGCTGCAAAAGTTCGCCTGCCACCGGCCGTATATGAAGCATTCCAGGTGCTATGCATGTTCAATTTTGTGTTCATTGCTGTTGGTGTTCAAACTTCACCCTCAACGGGCTACTACAGGGGCTTCAATAATTGCCAAGACTATTTTGGGGGTTCCTTATTACACGTATAGTATAATGGCGATAGATCGCCTGACCTTGCGCCCCGCAAAGCAAAAATGGTATACTGGGCACCAAAACCCTATTCTAATCATTAAGGCCTCTATAGTGAAAGGCCAGGAAACCTTGGAGCCCTAAGTCAAGCTCTGATGCCGATGGCTTCTAGCCACAAACCCTGCAAAATGGTAGGTTGGATGCCTCGATGTCTAGGGTTTAAGCGGTTTCAGGTTTGGGTATATACTTAGACCACCAAAATACCCTAAGTATATAATATAGGGGCCTAAATAATTGCCAATACTATTGTGGGGGCTTCTTATTAAAATCATAGTATCATGGGCCCAAAACCTCATTCTAACTATTAAGGCCCCTGTATGAAGTTTTCGAAAATTCGGGGTATCCTATTTTAATAAGAATCCTATTTTTCTAGGGTACTAGATGAGGGTCCCCTGTTTTTGGGAACCCCCATACCCTAAACCCTAAACCCCAAAAACCCTAAACCCTAAACCGTACCACAACGAGACTTGGACTCTCTGGGTTAGAGCCACAGGTGGAGATCCTGACACCGGAGGTGCCCTTGCCGGAGAAGACGCTGGAGGAGGCGGCAGCGCAGTTCATCACGGCTGAGGTCCCGAATGTCGAGGCCGTCCTGAAGGCGGCAAAGGGATGTTGGTAAAAAGAGTTTTGGGTTCAGGGATTTAGTATTTGGAGTTTATTTTGAATCAACTTTGGAGTGTAGAGGTCTTTTTCCATTTCTTCGCCTCTACAGTCTATAGTTTCTGCCTTAGCCAAGCTGGTTTCCCACGTGCCAGGCAATGTCATGATGCTAGGTCCCCGACCCTCCATCAGGATAGAGCTGAACTTCGACAAGCTTCACATAGTATCCGAAACTTTCCAGGCTCAACAGTTGAGAATACCAGCCCTCGGCACTTTAAGATGAGTCGCAGGAGCCCCAAACGCGGATGAGCTGACAGAAGCGATGTTTGTCACGGGTTTTTAATCGTCTGCACGTGTGAACAAACTCGTACTAGGGTGCAGAAATTCCACCGGGCCTTGGAACGGGCCCGTCCCTGCCTATTGCAGTACACCTTATTCCAAAGCCCATCAGCCGTGGAAGCTTGGATTTCTCGCTGAGCCGCTAAACACCACGTTGTACTTCAGGCGGCCCGGGACATCTTAGCCGAGCAGTTCGCACACCGTGGAGATGTGCGTCAGCTGGCCCGCAGCGTGCTCGAGAACAAGGTGGCCTCCAATAGTTTAGGGCGTCCAATTTAGGGTTTAGGGGTGTAGCCGCGTTTGTGTACTGAGGTTGAGAGATGTGGCTGCTGTGTATGGGGTTCTGGGATTTGGGGGTTTTGGGTCCGGATTTCGGGGTCGTCGGTCGACAGTTTATGGGCTTAGGTTTCAAGGACAGAGCTGCATAAGGCTTAATGATGGTATTTTCGGTCCAGCACTGTCCCGCTTTGTAGGCTACTATGTCACACACAGGCTGTGCTGTGCGACTGCCTTTCTTGTAGTGTATAGTGTTTCTCAGTAGAGATAACCCCCAAGCTCCCCGAAGCGAGCGTGCCCGATTTTCCTGCCCTTCAGATTCTCAATCCTACAACCCAAACCCCACATGACACTTCTTATTTGCGGATCCTAAACCCGGAACCTTAAATTGAAGCCAAAAGGAGCCCTTGGCGTTTGCCTGAGCATGCGGGACTCACGACCCCCAGCTAAAACAACCCAAAAGGACCCTCCAGGGTTCCCGCTCAAACCGTCAGGTGCGGCTCGCATCTCGCCGGCGCGGTGACGCCGACCCGGAGGGTCAGTTCAAGACATACTGGGAGTTCAGCTGCCCGCTTCGTCAGGTGGGGTTCAGGGCTTGAGGGACTCTGTAGGCAGACACTTGGAAGTGAACATGTCCGATCGGTTTAGCGGGTGATTAGGGTTTAAGGGTGTTCCATATGGGTACAACCTACAGAGTCATCTGAGGCCCTCCCCTAACACTCCAGCAATTTAGGACAGGGTTCCCAGAGACTCTTGAAAATGCCTCTTTGTTAAGGAAAAAGATCTTAAGTCATAGAGGGAGGCTTTAAGATTTCTGCCGTTTGCCTATGTTTCGGAGCTTTTGAGTTTCAGGAATTTAGGGATTGGGGTTCCGAGGGGGTGGGGCTTAAGGTTTGGGGTTGTAGATTGTAGAATTTGTTGAGGGTGTTTTCCATAGGGTTCAAGGATTGGTGCATAACGGCGCTGAGAGGGATTTAGGGCTGAACGATGGATGGGGAGAGAACTCGACTCGATTCGGCTGTTTTGAGTTTGGCCCCGTGCGACGGCATCAAGCATTTGGACATGCGATCATAGCACTTAACCTCAAGTGTTTAACACGGGCAGAGGTCGCTCAAGCAAAAAAGCCATGACGCTAGCCAGGTGAAGCCGCATCAGTTCCTGGCGGTGCAGCGCGGAGAGCACCCCGGTCTCTTAAAGTCTGCCGACTTTCCTGGATTGATTCGGAGTTTTCAGCATCGCAAGTGGCCAAAGTTCTGTGAGAAGCCAAGGCAGAAGAAGTGCCTCAGCTTGACCTTCGCCATCACGGCTCCTTAGGGGTACTTCGAAATGATTTTTAATCCTTGGTTACTATAACTCCTAAGCAAGCAAGAGCCAAGACCATATTTTTTGCTAGGGGTCTAAGTTCAGTATAGGCTGAAGACTCAACTTGCCTGCTCGATGCCTTGATGGCCACCTTCCTGGGAGATCGGCCGCGACAGGGCATCGGAGCAACCCCCACGCCCATGAGGGCAGCAGGTGGCCATCCGAGCCTCGGGGGCCGTGCCCCAAACGAACCCGAATGCTTTGCATTTTATGTATCATACCTTCATTTACGGCGTTGTCGGTTTGTCGGGTATGAGGCAGCATGCTTCTTAAGGGTCAGTTGGTCCCTAAGGTGCTGCATATCGGGCAGAGATTCGTTTGGCGCTGGAGGATGCCTACAAGCGCCTGCTGCTTCCCTTCCTGGAGCGCGAGTGGCGCCGGCGCTTGAAGCAGCAAGCCGCTAGGTTCTTGTCAAGGGTTTTAATTTAAGTTAATTACCATAGTACGGAAACCACAGTATTTACTATAGATCCACACTATGGTAGCTGAAATTAACTTCCGTAACTTAAGTTACTATGGTAACTTAAACTAACTTCCTTAAGTTACTATTATGGTAGCTAAGACTAACTTCCTTAACAATAACCCAGGCCGAAGACGAGGCTTTCGACACCTACCGCCGGAACCTGAAGAAGAAGCTCCTCTTGGCACCTTTGAGGCTTCATCCCGATTGGGGCTACGCAGAAGACAGCGGCTCCCCCGTGTCCGCCGTTCTGGGCGTGGATCCCGCGTTTCGCACCGGCTGTAAATGCGCTCTCATCTCGCTGACGGGCCAAGTCCTAGCCACCAAGATCCTTGGTCGGCAAGAAGGTACGCTTTCTTTTGCTATAAAATAACATACTCTAATATAATACAATATACTGTAATGTAATTTAAGGTTTCCATGAATCTATTTAAAGCATGGACTCAACAAGCAAGGACCGTGTTTCCGCACCCGAACTATGTTGGAGCATCGGTGCCCCTGCCACAGGACCATGAAGCCCGAAATCCTGACACCCCTACGCCCCTGGTTCCCGAAGCGCTTATGCCCGAAAACCGTAAACCCTGAACACTGAGCCTTGTGGAGCCTTGCCTGCCTTGTGCGAGTGTGAGCGTCGAAACACTGAGCCTTGGATCCTATAAACAAGGCCATGAATCAACCTTAAACCCCGACCCCCTCCCCGCCCCCAAATACACCCTAAACCCCACACCCCTACACCCTGATCCTTTCAAGTCAAGCCACAGGCCGAGACTGCCAGCCGTAACCTTCAAGATCTGCTTCAGCAGGGCCTCGGCTTCTGCGAAGTGCCTGATCCCGAGGCCCGTGGGGCGCCGCATTGTCCTTGTCTAACTGAGATTATTTCGTAATTATATACAGTTAAATATTATGCATACATACACATATGATACATATACATGTACACGTACACACACGTACATATGTATGTACGTACCTATATATTTTTGTCTGTATATCTACATCTCTATCTATGTCTGCATTGAGCCCTTGAGGACGTGGATACTCCAGAGAGGCCATGGAAGAGGCGCTGCCTGGACTCTAAGAGCCGGATTGTCTGCAGCTTGGGGAACGGCACGGCCAGCAGGGAGACAGAGGCTGGGATTCAGGGGTTAGGGGGATTTGGAGTTTGGGGGACTCAGTAAGGGTTGAAAAGGTGGATTTAGTACGGGTTAGGGGGGGTGGGAGCGGGTTTAGGAATTTGCGGATTTCACTAGCTGTTTACGGGATTTTGTAAGGGTTTGGGGGTGTTTTATGGTTGTTTTATGCACGGCTTCATGGTTTCCCCGGAGGCTTGGCTACGCCAGCAGCTCAAACAGTCGGAGTTCCTGGCTGATCGTGTAGGCTATGCCGTGGTGGATGCTGGGCTCTGGTTAAGGAACTTTAATCTAAGTTAAACCACCATAGGGACGTCCTTGCTAGGTAGGAGGGAAAAAACCCCTAAAGGAACCCTTATGAGTTCCTGATTATGAACCCAGGATGAGTCTGGGGCCTCGATATACAGCGCCTCGAACCTCGCCGGTGCAGAGCTGCCGGACCTGGACGTGTCGATGCGGGGCGCAGTGTCGATCGCGCGACGCCTCTTAGACCCACTCTCCGAGTTAGTGAAGATCGATCCTCGCAGCATCTTATTGGCTGTAAAGTCAACTTTTCAACTTTTGGGGTTCTTATAAGGTAGTCGATTCTGAAAGTTTCCACTTTTATTTCCTTGGGTTTTGGGCCAGTGAGGCATAGGAGTGGGCCTCTACCAGCACGATGCTGGGTTCCGGTTCAGGAACTTGTTTTTTGAGTTGTGAGAGCAGGGAAGGCATGTCTTGGTTCCGTTAAGTTGCCTACTTTAGGGGCCCAAATGATTACCAACACTATTTTGGGGGTTCCGAGAAAAATATAGTTGTAGTAGAATGGGCCCCAAAACCCTATTCTGATTATTGAGGCCCGTAGATTAGTAAGAACCCAGGATGTGGACCAAAGGCGGCTGGCCGAGGAGCTCAAAGGTGCAACCATGGATTGCGTGAACGCCGTGGGCGTCGATCTCAACACCGCGTCGCCGGCAATCCTAGAGTCCTCCAGTGCTACATTAGGCTACCGGATTGACTAGGTAGTGTTGGGTTGAGGCTTTAGTCGTCTAGGTAGGACAGCCAAGGAACCCTCTGCTTGCGGACACATCTTCAAGATTGCTGATTCATGAAATCCCAAGCATGCCGTGGAATGTGTGCTACTGCATGGCTTAGTCTTAACATCCTCTCCTAGTCCTTATATACTTTAGTAGCATAAACCCCCCAACCCAATCCTAAGTACCTTATACTTAGGCATGTCTCCGGGCTGACAGCGGCTCTTGCGCAGAGCATCATCCGGCATCGAAGCGACATCGGCCGCTTCAAGTCCCGAGCGGACTTGCTGTCAGTACGAGGAGTCTGGGCTCCTTTCTAGGATTTAGGGGTCAGGGTTTAGCATATGGGGCTGAGTCCGTGTGTGAGAGAGAGAGAGAGAGAGAGAGAGAGAGAGAGAGAGAGGCGGGTCCGGTGTAATAGGGTTGGGCTAGTTCGATAAGTATTCCGGCAATTCCATCATTCGGTGGACCAGCAGAATGAAGCACACGCATAATGCAGGGCGCCACGGGCATGATCAAAGATTTTGCCATTTTAGTCGTATTCGTCATGCCCGACATCGTCAGCACTGCTCCAGAGCACACCGTTTGACCCCCCAAAGCCCGTTCCCACGGGGGACAGCCTAACAAAGACAGAACTAAACCCCCACTCCCCAACTTGACAACCCAAACCCGGAATTCTCAAAGCCAGGACCCGCGAAACCCCAAAAGCCGTGATAGTCAAGTCCAAGCTGTCCGAATCGAGAGCCATCAAGCAGCGTCGAACCTGAGTGAAGCTTGAATCCGGTAGAGTCATCGCCAACTCTGCCCTAGTAGCCTGCACTCCAACAAACCCCGTGAATTTTTAGATCCTGCATCAGCCTCAACCTAAACACGACTTTCTCCGAAACCCTAGAGCGTACAAAACCTGTAGAAGCCACTCCTTTCAACTGTAGCTGAAGGCCCCTAACCACAAACCAAACACAATCCCTCATTTCCGCCTCAAGCCCACAAGAGTGCTCAGGTCCAAGAAGCCGTGAGATCGAATCGTCGAAATTCCTGAAGCCCTAAAAGTGTGAACCCCCAACAAGCTTACCATAAACCCCGACAGAAGCCCTTCTCACCCTACTCCTCTTTGAAAGCGCTGCGTTGTTGGTCTTTTGAGCCCCCCATAAACCCTACACAAACCCTACGCTTCTCCCGAAACTCTACCTACTGGGCTTTGCAGCCAGGAGCGTCAGGCCTGAGCCCCTACATATCCCTACACAAACGCTACTCTTCTCCCTGCACTCCACCTTTGGGCTTAGTCCTAACCTCGACATGAGTGGTTGTGAGAATTAGGGTCCCTTCTTGGGTATCCTAAATAATAGGTGCCGTATTAGAATAGGGACCCAAAAAGGGACCATCATTTTGACAACCACCCACATACAACCTACGCCTTTCTTTAGACTCTACCGTTTGCTGATGATGAAGCACTTGTGAAGTGATTATGCTTATGTTCTTTTGGGCCCCCATTTTGGGTCTTTTGAGCCAGGAGTGGGTCCCCGGACGTTCGAGCAGGCGGCCGGCTTTTTGCGCGTCTTCTCGGGCTCGGAGCCTTTGGATGAGCTGCCGATCCACCCCGAGAGTCCTTCGGAATTTCTTTAACGGGGTGTAGAGTTTAGTGTTTAGGGGATTACAGTTCAGGGCCCAGGGTTTAGAAACACTACTGGCTATAAGGAATGTCTTTCCGGGCTCTATCAGGTTCGGTTCAGGTTCTGCAATCAGCGGTTGCAGTTCTGTAACGCTTGAGGAAAGCTCCTGCGCGTTTTTTTTGGACTTGGGCCCTGCCCTACTGTGCTTTGCATAAGGCTACCCTGCAGCAGCTGCACTTCAGCGGCGCTGTGGTGGAGTGGACGGTGAGGGGTATACCAGGAGCTCCTTGAGTTTGGGCTCTTGGTTTAGGGTATAGGCGTGTAGGGGTTTAGGGGTTTAGGGGTTTATGGTTTAGGGTTTAGGGGTTTAGGGGTTTAAAGGGTTTAGGGGTTTAAGGGTTTAGGGGTTTAAGGGTTTAGGGGTTTAGGGGTTAAGGGGTTTAAGGGAAAAGGGTTTAGGGTTTACTGCAGATTTGAAGTCTTGCAGTGCTTCCCAGCTGATCGGCAGAGTCTGGGTTCAAAAAAGGGTTTACTGAAGTAATTGCTGCAAGGGTTCTGCCAGGGTTCGATAGGTTTAGGGTTCAGTGTTTAAGGTTCAGGGTGTACGGTTATGGATACAGTAAAGACTTGAGTCCAGCAGCAAACAAAAGGGTTATGAATAAGGGTATGTGGGCTTCTTGTGAGGATGTTATGGGTTTCGAGATCCCAACGAAGTTTCTACAGAAGTTCCTACAGACTGCGTTTGATACTAGGATGGGAGGAGGCTTGTCGCAGGACGAGGTTGAAACTAAGCATGGCAGTCAAGCCTTTCCTGAGTGTCCAAGAATGAATCGATCTTCGTTGCTTGTGAGGTGCGTTCGATAAGGGAAGCAAGTGAGCCGCTAAGCAGGGACCGCAGGGAGGAAAGTGAACACAAGGAGACAAGTTGCACTTTGTGGGTAGTTTTGTTTCGATTAAGATGATGAAGTGTCTTCTGGTATAGTTGATCTTGTGAGCTGCCAACAGACCCAGCATCGTAGGTTCGTCCTAGCCAAGTGGGAGGCAAAAAAGTGTCTTCTAAAGGTCATGTGCCTATACTCATGAATCTGAGATCTCGAAGCACTCGCAACAAGAGTCGCGAAATCTTTGGCACAACGCCCCCGAACCCTTGTCCTTGGCCAGAGCGAACGATGAGGCAAACATGTCCCGCAGAGCCTTACAGCTTGAACCCGAAGCCCCCAAATTCTAAACCTTAAAAACTCTGACTCCAAAACCTTACCCCGAACACCCTCTGCCTGTTCCCTGCTTCCATTATCAGAAGCCTTCGTGAACTTTCGGACGATGTCGACGTTGGCGCTGAGCTTGGCTTGGGGCCAGCACTCTGGCCCTACTCAGTACTTGTTGGATCCAGTGCATCCGTACCAGTTTTGCAGATAAGCACAAGCTGGGCAAGTATGATCACTCCGATCTTTTCTATCTGTCCAGGGTCTGGGCTGCGCCACTGTTCTGATTAAGCACAAAAAGAGCAAATGTAGCTCCTTTGCTTCAGGCTTGCAATCCCTCATGGTGTGTTTGTATCACATCACCTTTAGCCCTTGAGGTCAGGTCGAACAGCGAGGACCACTAGTCATGCTTTTTGCAACCCGAAGTGGATGTTGGGCACGCTACGCTAAACTTACCTGGGAGTTTCCGAAAATTAGGGGTCCTTATTTTGGGGTCCTATAATAGAGATCCTACTATTCAGGGAGGTGTCGGTTCAAGCGTAGTTTCTTCCAGGTATCTCCGTAGGTGTGTCTTGGAGGTCCGTTTGACACTGACCCAGTGTGTCGAGACCTTGCAATCAGCTGGTTTCAGACCACGACAGCACTGTCAATCATACACAGTCTGATTGACCAGTTCAGCACTTGCTGCTCCTTCGTATTCAGTGGTTGGTAGCTGCGGTTAAATTCGCCTACCCTTTGGAGTGCGAAAGCGGTCAGTGCATGAGATATCTGTGTCTACTATTACTCGTCTCATCGTGGGGACTACAGCAAACATCATATCATCGACAGCGCTTGGGTAGCCACGGCGGAACCACCGTGGCATCGCAGGTTGAGAAGAAGCAGAAGCAGAGCAAGAACACAACTCCGTCAGCACGTCGGGCGTCCAGGCAGCGTGCCTGCGCGACTAGTTGGCGAAGCTATACAGCTACTGCAAGCACATCACAGCAACAGCATCCTACCCAAACAAGCCAGGGCCGTGATGGCGACAAGTGGCGAGAGTTGGTGGTGCCACCGCTGCAGATTGTGGCGCAAAGCCAGAAGCCAGATCTGCGACCAGTGTGGGGCAGCAGCCGCGACACAGAGAACGTATGCAGGCACCTCTTGGAGCGAAGACACTTGGGATGCCAGCTCATGGAAACCAGGTTGGGCGCCATCTGCGCAGAGACCCAGGTCTCCGAGGCCAAAGTCGCCCAGGCAAGCGAGAAGCAGTTGGGACTCTTGGGATGGATGGCAAAACGGGAATGCCCAGAAAGGCAAAGGACAGAAAGGTGGCAAAGACAAGGGTGGCAAGGCGCATGGAAAACAACTTGCGCAGGAGCTGCCAAACACAGTGCAAGCCCCCAAAGTGGTGATGCCCAGGCCGGTCCCAGCACAAGCAAACCCAGCGACTCCCAGCGATCCTCTGCTGGGGGCACTCATCGCACACGTGTCCGAGCAGTCGGATCTACCTCCATCCCTCCGCAACATGCTTGCGCAGCATCAAACCAACAACGCAAACTTCTGCATCATTGGGTTACAAAGCAAACAGAGGCCAAAGCGGCCTTGAGCAAGCTTGCGCAGGAGCAAGAAGAGTACGATGCGAATTGGTGTGCTTATCTGACGAAGGTGATGGAAACGTTAGAACACCAAATCTTGGATCGTGCCAAAGTCTTGGGGGAGTATGCGCAGGCAGAAGCACAGTGGAGCGCACAGTTGCAGGATGCAACGGTGCAGTTGGCACAAAGGGCCAATGGCGAGGATGGGACGTCCAACCAGGCACACATGGATGTGGATACAAACGAAGCGGCGGTGGCAGAAGCCGCCAGGATAGAGGCGAAGCATGTTATCAGGCGGGAACGGATGGAGGAACAGCAGTCGGAGCTGATGCAGGCTTTAAAGAAAGCCAAGGAGGCAGCAGAGGCCGCCACGGTGGTAAAGGAAAAGGATCGGGACAGAACCCCGCGCAGGCGCCCCAAAGACAAGGAGGGCGCGGCGGAGTGCATCGAAGTACCAGACTCACCAGCGCCCCACGCATCGGTGCAGTCTTTTGGTGCGGCCTGAGTACGTGCCTCACGGGGATACTCAGTCCGAGAACGGCTGTGATGGCCGAGGATGATTTCTGCTCCGAGTGGTTTGCCACCTTCCTGGGACAACACTTGCATTTCGATTGCTGGTTGGAGCAGTGGGATGGCCGACTTCGTTTGATGCTTGATCCCAGGGTTGAGCCTGTGCATTTTGAAGCCGAGACTGATTTGTCATCGGACACTGCCCGGAGCAGGCTTGCTGATATAGGGTCAAAGTGTCACCACCGCGGCAGTACGCTCAAGAGCTGTTTGAAGAAAGGACGTGGCAGGAAACCACACCACCATGTCACTTTCGACCTAGAGCCTGTAGAGATGAGCGATTCGGGTAGCAAGAACCAGTGCGCTGCCCCAATTGCGGAATTTTGCGGAAGAACGCCACAAGAGCCATCTTCCGATGTACAGCGTTTCAAGTCGGATGCCATCGACAGCAATTTTGACGGACAGAGCGGCGAGGCTGTTGCTGAACCCTCCGGTCCAGTTGAGGCGTCGGCTCTCACGACAGCTGAGACTTTCAGGGATGACGATAGCCGTCAGGGCGATGCTAGGGTCTTGTGCTTGGCTGACATGATACCTGAGCACCCAAAAGCTGGAGTTGGAATTGTGCCTGATATGCTTCGCGATTTGTTGCTTGGACATGACATTGGCAGCTTGCATCTCGGGCTTCCCAGTCTTGATTGCTTCCATGAATCTGTGAGCACTGCTTTTGCAACGTGGCTGGGCAGCAGGCCCTTTGACATGACTGAGATTGCCACAGTACATATGTACACGGATGGAGCCCATTACGAAGACACCATGACTGGAGCATGGGCTTTGGTCTGTGCCGTTGAAACATATGCTGGCGAGTGGCTGTGGGCCGGCTCTTTGGCCAATCCATGTGGAGAGAATGGCATGACAGAGCTAAGTTACTGCCGCAGCGCTTTTACACCGGAGCTGCTTGCCATCATACATGCCATGATCGTTTCTTTGTCGTGTGACAAGGTGTGTTGCATCCATTTTGACTGTTGCAGCGCGTCTCGCGTAGCACAGGGCTTGGATGCCAGTGATCACGTGCTCGCGGATGTTGCGGTTGGCGTGCATGAGCTGTTGAGTCGGAAGTTGTATGCGACTTACTTCAGGCATGAACCAGCTCACACTGGTGTAGCTCTGAATGAGGCTGCGGACAAATTGGCCAAAATCACGTGCCCCGGCTGGAATGGCGCAGCATGTAACACAATGCTCGATGAATTTGTTAGTGACGGCATCCTGCGATGGCTATGGCTGTGCCACCCCAGCATAGCGGCGGACTGCCAGTGGCCATACATTTGCCCTGAGACGGGGGTCTTCGCGTGCAATGTTGACCATAGCACGGAGTATTGCGCACGCAAGGGCGAACACGAGGTCCGATCTTCTGAAACCGGCGCTTCGTCAGAGGCGGTTGATTCGGGTTGTGATAAGCATGTGACTGTTCGAACTGTCACGTACAACGTGACCACTTTGAAAGGACGAGCGTGTCGGGAGTCGCTTGCTAAAGTATTCAAAAACAATCACGTGCAGATAGCGAGGCTCCAGGAAACACGCAGCAGTCAGGACCAAGTTATCGATGTAGACGGCTACCGGTGCTATTGTTCAGCTGGATGTGACGGTCAGTTTGGATGTGAAGTTTGGATAGCGCACGGTTCCGACTGGGACCTCTCGACCACTGCTGTCACAGTCCAGCAGCCACGCTTGGTTGTTGTTACCGGCAAATGCGGTGGGCAGACCTTTGCAGTAGTCTCAGGCCATGCTCCCCAATCAAAACATTGCGACGAAATCATCGACCAATGGTGGCAAAGCTTTTTTGAAGTCATGCACAGAATTCCCAAGGATGCTTGCCCCATTGTGCATTTGGATGCGAACGCTCGCTACAACGCTGAATCTGTCGAGCATTGTGTCCCCGTCAACAGAAATGCTCTACACTTGGATCGCTTTCGCAGTGACTTCAGCATGTGTTTTACAGGCCACTATGACACCGCAGGCAGACGTCTTGTCACTTGGCGAAGCCCGCGCATGAAGGAAGATGTCATAGATTACATCTTGGTCCCCACGCAAATGCAGGGGTCCATGATAGTATTGGGACGGCCTCTTTCCGGTGAGCATGTCACATCAGAGTGGGACCATGAGCCACTTATGATTCAACTCGGGTTTGGATGTAGAGCTACAAAGCGGAGGCGGGAATTCCAGATCGACAGGCAAGCCTTAAAGGACGAAAGGAATCATGCTGTCTTGTCCTTGACGAGGCAAGGTTTACACAACACACCATGGAGTCGGCTATTGCGGCGGGGCCCGAGGCACTGGCGCGGCTTTTGAGAAGCATCTTGAAATGCGGCAGGCAGTACAGGGCCCCCAGGACAGCGCCCGTACTTGTTGCAGCTGACGGGTCGTGGATCACGGACCCGAGTATTACTCGGGAAATGCTTGGCGAGCATTTTGCCAAAGCTGAGCGTTGCATCATGTCCACTGAAGCCGAGCTGCAAAAGGTTGTGAAGAACTTTCGGCCAAGCAATTCTGTTGTTGAGGACTTGACGGATGCACCGGCCTTCTCTGATCTTGTGCGTGCATGCAAGTCGTTGAAGAATGGGAAGGCGCCGGGGCTACGGGGCATACCACCGGAGGCTTACAACCAAGTGCCTGTTGAAGCTGCGAGAGCATTGTATCCGTTGCAGCTGAAAATGCTTGCGACAGGGGAATGCCCTCGCGACATGAGGAAAGTTTGGAACGTTGCCATCCCAAAGAAGTTGGCCGTAGGTGTTGAAGCATGGCGCGCTGTAGCACTTATGGAACCCTCCATGAAGGCCATAGCCAAGTCTGCAAGACAGAGGCTTGTACCATATTTTCGGAAGGCCTTTTGCTCAGGACAAGGAGGAGCATTGCCAGGGCAGGGCCTTGAATATCCGCAGCTTTTGGTGAAATCTCACTTTCGCCGCTTGCGTCAGGAGCATGTGAGTGGTGGGGTGTTATTCGTTGACGGAACGTCTGCCTTTTACTCAACTGTTAGGCAGTACTTGTATGACGGAGCGGTCAATGCCGAAGAGCCGCATGCGCTGATGGATTTAATCGTTGCTCTGACGCCTGACGCTGCTGAGCAGGCTAGAATCTTTGCAGTCTTGACTGGACCGTCGGTTCTGGAGCAGGTTCACACGCCTGACACGCTGCGCCGGATGATCATGGCGCTGCTTCACAACACCTACTTCGTCATGCGCAGAGAAGACGTGCAGGTGCGGGCATCAAGAACGGGCACAACGCCCGGAGCCCCACTCGCAGATCTGCTGTTTGCGGGAGTCTTCGCAGGCTTTTTGAAGGATCTTGACCAAGTGCTACAAAACGAGGGTGTTCTTGTCGGCGTTGCGGACTGTACAGACCCTGAGCGGTGCTTCACAGCACCAACCGCTACATGGATGGACGATGCATCGTTGCTTGTGCGCGACGCTCGACCGGCCATGGTGATGCAGCATGTACACACCGTCGTTCGACACACACACAGCATGCGCTCCAATCCATAGGGGTTGGCACCAACTTCGGACCTACCAAGACTGAGTTCGTTGTTGCCTTCAATGGTGCCGGCAGTCAGGCTCAGCGACGAAAGTGGTTAGGACAAGGACCTCCATGCGTGCCTGTCGAGTTGACGGATTCGCGTGTTGTCCCGGTCATCGTTGCGGAACAGTACACACACCTTGGCAACATAGTTCATCATTCGGGCGGTGACTTAGCTGATATCCTCAGGCGCAAATTTCAAGCTCAGGCGATGATGGCGCCCCTAAAAAAGCGTCTGCTGAGCAATCGGCACTTGTCAGCACAAGTCAAAAAGAGCTTGGTGACAGGCATGGTGTTGCGGAAATTCCTTTGTGGCTCCGGTTTGTGGTCTTTGAGTACCGCCCGCGAGAAAGCATTGGTGTCTTCTGCATACATGAGCTTTGTCCGGCAGTCTTGCTTTCCCATTGTTGGAGTTGGATGTGCAGGCATGTGTGACAACGATGCGTGCGTGCTCGTTGACATGCTTCTACCTGAAGAAGCTGTGCGAATCGAACGCATGCGCACTCTGAGCAAAGCCATTGCACAGGATGCCGGTTACTTGCGTAATGTTCTAGTTCAGGATGCTACCTGGATGACCGTCGTGCTTGAGGACTTTCGGATTTTGCGTGACGCGTGTTGGTCGGAGCTGCGTGTGCCGCAACTGGAGAGACCTGATTCAAAGATGGCTTTTCTGGAGCAACTTCCTGAGCTACATGAGCGGCTGCGTTTGAAGTTGAAGGCGTACCGTCGGCATTGCTTGAAAGGCCGTGCAGGCACAAGAGAGCAAGTCTTTGCTGTTGCACGGAAGTTGCAAGAGGCCGAAAAGAAGGGGGTTGCGCTTTGCAAACATGCGACTGAGCACTTGAGCAGTGAAGCGATTGTTCCTTGTCCGCACTGCGGCAAGCTGTTTGCCAATAATGCTGCCATGGCCGCTCATCTCAGTAAAACGCATGGAACCGTGTCGGCTTTGACGCGTGTGGCGCAGGGTACGGTGTGTCAAGTATGTTTGGTTGATCATCAGACTACCAAGCGATTAAAGGCACATTTATACAACAAAAAGACTTGCTTGCACGCGTACCTGGCAGCTGACCTGTCCCACGCTGTCACGCGGGTTGCTGGCGCAACGCATGCTTGGGTACCACCGCTTCGGGTTGAAGGACCTCAGCCTTTTTGGGCAACACTCCAACCGGGGGCGCCTGGCGAGGCAGATATGCCGCTGCCTCGCATCAGTGCCGCAGATATGGTGCTCAGGTATGTTGAACAGGCCTCTAAAGGACTTGTTGGTAGGGAACTTGCTAGCTTGTTCCATAAGCTATCCCGGGGTCTCAGCTGTCAGGGCTTCTGCCCCGGATCCGCGAAGGATGCTGCAGAAGAGCTTCCCATAGACACTCCTGGCCTCCACGAGATTCTTGATCTCATTGAAGTGTTCGTGCGCACGCGCGAGTGTCGGTCAGGAAGCTTCTGCGGAGTACGTTTAAGGGCCCAGTGGAATGCTCATCGCATACTGCTCGGAGCCAGGCAGCTCATTTTCGACCCTGAGTTGCTGAAGCTGTAGATGCATGATTGAATTAATCGCACACCTAACCGGACAGAGCTCGACGCAAGCAACTATTCAGGGTACTACATTAGGGTCCCCCATTTTCGGAAACTCCCACCTAACCCCAGAACTGAAACCTGAAGTCTCCTTCCCGTTGCCGGATGGAAGCCTGCTGTAGGCTTTTGAAGTCCTGCGGAAGTCTGGAAGCTTTGCCTATACTGGTGCGATTGTAAGAGTCGAGTCCATCCTGAGCCAGCCTGTGCCGCTAAACCCTATACTCGAAATGTCCCGAACCCTATAAACCCTAGACCCTGCCTACCCTAACTGCCACAAGCCCCAAACCCTCAGAGCCAAGGAGACCTTCGCCGACTTGTGCAAGGCCCTGGCCGCCAGCTCCCAGTCATCTTTGGATCCAAGGCTCCTTGGGTGTGGGCATTCGGAGCGAGCAAGATCTATAGGGTTTATAGTGTTTAGGGTTTAGGGCAATGCTGGCATTCATCAAGTCCAGATGTAAAAAGGGCAACGCTAGGCTAGGTAGGGCTTGGTATGTGTGGTGCTAGCTGGCTAGAGTCAGCTGTGCTGGGCTTGGTGCTCGGTGCAGATGTGCCAGACCGATCTGGGTGTGAGGGTAGATCGAAACCCTGAACCCGAAACCGTGAACGTCAGCAAGTTGTAGTTCAGGAAATGTGCTTGTGAACAGAGAGATCTCGTCTGGCAGAGTCCGAGTTGCGAGAGCGTAGACCGTAAACAATATGAACCCTCCAGCTCTAAAAGCCTTAAATCTTAGTCCCCAATTCTGAAAATTAGACCCCTACAGCCGGAAGGAGAAGGAGGCCCCTCACGTGGTCAAGCTCCGGAGCCCTTGTAAGGAAGCCAAACACAAATCAGAGGCAGCGAGATAGGTCGGTCGGTGGGTAATTAGATCTGTCTATGTAAATCTATGTATGCATTTCAGTATAGGTAAATCTCCCCAAAACCCTAAACCGTCTTGGATAAGTAGCTGGGTAAGCAGGCAGGTCGGTTTGTAGAGCTCTGCAGCTGCATCCGAACGCGCTGCAGCCCAAGAAACCCACAAGAGCCAACCCCAAACCTCATCTTTTAGGCGCGAGGAGCCGGCTGTGCGAATCAAGGCACTTGGGCTCTTTGCGATGCTGTGCTTGCGGCGGTTTTTTGCCAGAGCATAAATAATGCCACCAAAAATTGTAAAGGTTCAGGATCCTACATAATAACAATAACAATTATTATTATTATTGTTATTATTGTTATTATTGTTGTTATTATTTTAGGGTTTTGTATCTAGGTTCAGAGGTGAAGAGCCCAGGGTTCGAGATCTTCATTTCGACAGTGAGAGCCGGGCCATAGGCCGTCGACTGGGTTTAGGCCAAACGGCTAGGCTTTGCAGTTTTTGGTATCCTAACTCACTAATCCCGTCGGCACCAGAATCCCTGACGCTGAAACTTGACTCTACACCCTGGTGTTGGATTTTTGTTGATATTACACACTCGTCGTATCTGAGGCATGCGGTTGGACTTAACACAAGCTCAAAAGCATCTCCACATGCGAGGGCGTATGAGACGAAACAAGGATCCCGCCCAAGTTACAACGGTCCCACTTAGGACTCGATGGTCACGTTTTGTTTCAGTATGTTTCAGTTTTTCAACCCCTGGACCCTCCCGGAGGGAAGCCGACAGCGCAAGCCTTCTTGGATCACCGCTCTTTCCCCTAGTTTAGGGCTGCCGGATGTCTGGAAGAGCCATTATAAAGATGTGCAGGAATAGATGCACAGGAATGGGTGATCTAAGAAGAATTTCAAGTAATTTCAGCCAGAGACCCCCGACAGCAAGCCTCTGAAGGTACCACCCCTTAACCCTAAACTTATAAGAATCTTAGGGCCACAGACTGGGTCAGTGTTTGGAATATTGTTTTGCATTTATTTTGCGTTTATTTTTGCATTTGCTGTTTGCGTTTTTTTGCGCCTTGCATTTTTTGTTGCATTTGTTGTTTGCGTTGTTTTTGTGTTTGCTGCCCTGTCTGAGTTTAGCGTTGCGTTTTTTTTGCATTCCTGTGGACCGAGACGGCCGAGGCCCTGCAAAATGCAAAAAGAATGCACACGTAAATGCTGAGAACGACCAAAATTGCAAAACAAATGCAATTCTGAAAGCCGCGGCCGGCCAAAATGCAAAAAAAACGCAAGCTGGGAAACCGTGGCCGGCCAAAACGCAAAAAAATGCAAAAGTTAGCGGTCATTACCGAAACCACCAAAAACCTGAACAAAACTGGCCGTTTCCTGGAGCATTTGCGTTTTTGTTTGCATTGTTTTTGCGTTTTGTTTGCGTTTTTTTTTTTCATTTTTTTGCATTTTTTTTGCGTTTTGGCCGGCCACGGTTTCCCGGCTTGCGTTTTTTTTTTGCATTTTGGCCGGCCGCGGCTTTCAGGATTGCATTTTTTTTGCAATTTTGGTCGTTCTCAGCATTTACGTGTGCATTCTTTTTGCATTTTGCAGGGCCTCGGCCGTCTCGGTCCACAGGAATGCAAAAAAAACGCAACGCTAAACTCAGACAGGGCAGCAAACACAAAAAAAACGCAAACAACAAATGCAAAAAAAATGCAAGGCGCAAAATAACGCAAACAGCAAATGCAAAAAAAACGCAAGCCAACATGCCCTGGCCCTGGCCGGAAATTCATACATGCAAGCCCAGCTGTAGCCTGCTAAGATTCTTATAACCCTAAACCATGAACCACATGCCTCGCCTGGATTGTCCGTGTGTGAGCGCCGAAACCATGACTCGTGACTGGCAGCCTCTAGAGTGGGACCAAGCCCTCATATACGTATATCAAAGGATCCGATATCCAATGCCTGTTGTTGAGAAGAACTCGCGACGGGGATTCTGCAAGCACTGGTGGTGCGTACTTACATGTAAGTCCTACCAACCGTAGTGCCCTGACCACCTATGTAACCCTATCTGCTGTCGCCTCTTGAATTGAGAGACAAAGGAACCCCGAACAGAGAACCCACGAAGGAAGATCCTCCAGTTATCTCCGGTCTACGTTACGATGGAAAGGTTCGTGAAGCAAGCAGGGGGATCTGACAAACGAGGATCCTTTCATTTCGAGTCCCAAATACGGGCCCCTTAGCTTCTAAAAACTTCCCAAAGAGCGGATATTAATAATTGAAGATACTCTTTCAATCTGAAAACATATGGATATATATATATATATATGTATATGTAGAGTTTCTATTTTAAAAATTTGAAGAGGTGCCCGGACGACCTGCTGAGATCAAGGCATCAGGGCTGGGTCGAAGGTAGGTTCCGAGGATCGGAAGTTCCGGAGTTCGGGCTCTGAAAAGGGGACCTCGGGGCTTGGATGAGCTCCTTGAAGTTTGAGTGGCTCTACGAGGCCCGTGAGAAAGAGTTTGGTAGGGTTTGAAAAAAAAGTCTTGGGGGTTTAGAA